GAAAAACCAACAAAACCAAAAGATAGTTTTTGAAAAACATCAACAAAATTGACAAGCCTTTAGCTAGATTAACTAAGAGAAAAAGAGAGATGACTCAAATTACTAAAATCAGAATTGAAAGAGGGGACACAACCGCCACGCTTACAGAAGTGAAAAGAACTATAAAGGAGCACTAGCAACAACGGGATGCTGATAAAGTAGAAACAGATGAAATGAATAAATTCCTAGAAAGATATAAACCACTCAAATTGAATCGGGAAGAAACAGAAAATTCTGAATAGACCTATAATAAGTAAAGAGACTGAATCAGTAACCAAACAACATCCCACGAAGAAAAATTCAGGCTACACAGAGGAATTCTAACAAATGCTTAAAGAACAATTAACACCGATCCCTCAGCAACTCTTCCAAAAAATATAAACGAAGAAAACACTTTGCAACCCATCTAAAAGGCCAGCATTACCCTGACACCAAAATAAACACATGGCAAGAAAATCAAAGACCAATCTCCCTCATGAATATGGACACAAAAATCCTCAACAAAATACTAGTAAACCAAACCCAGCAATATACACAAAGGATTACACATCATGACCACGTAGGATCTATCCCAGAAATAAAAGGTGGTTCCACCATACGAGTCAATCAATATAATACATATTAAGAAAGGAAAAAACCACACGATCATCTCAATAGAAGTAAAAAAAGCACTCGACAAAAGCCAACACCCTTTCACGATAAAAACACTCAACAAACTCGGACTAGAAGGGCACTTTCTCAGTCTGAACAAGGGCACCCACAAAAGGCACCACAGCTAACAGCAGTATTGAATGGGGAAAGACTGGATGCTTTCTCCTAAGGTGAGGAACGAGACAAGGACAGCCACTCTCACTGCTCCTATTCCACACTGTACAGGAGGTACAAGCCAGGGCAATTAGGCAAGACAACGAAACAAAAGACATCCAGACAGGAAAGGAAGAAGTAAAATTACGTCTATTTGTAGATGATATGATCTTGTATAAATCCTACAGAATCTACAAAAAAAAGTTATTAGAACTAATAAACAGTTTAGCAAGGTTTCCAGATACAAGATCAATATACAAAAACTTACACTAGCAATGAACAATCTGAAAATAGAATTAAGAAAACAATTCCATTTATAATAGCATCAAGAAGAATAAAAGGCAGGAATAAATTTAACAAAAGTAGTATAAAACATATACTCTCAAAACTATAAAACTGTTTAAAGAAATTACAGAATATCTGAATCAATGCAAAGATATCCCACGTTGAAGAACTGGAAGATTGAATACTATTAAGATGGGAGCGTTTCCCCTAGTGACCTACAGATTCAACAGAATTCCCATCAGAATCCCAGCTGACATTTTTTGTAGAAATTGACAAATTGATCCTAAAATTCATATAAATATGTGAAGGGGACAGAGCAGCCAAAAACATCTTGAAAAAGAAAAACCATTTCCTGATTTCAAACTTTACAACAAAGCTACATAATCAGGACCGTCTAGAACTGGCCTAATGATAGACACACAGATCACTGGAACAGAGCTGAGAGTCCAGTAATAAATCCTTACACTCATGATCAATTGATTTTGACAAGGCTGTTAAAGACAATTTAATGGAGAAAGAATAGTCTTTCCAATAAACGGAGCTGGTATAACTGGACATCCACATATATAAAAGAATGAATTTAGACACCTTCCTCAGACCATACACAAAAATTAGCTCAAAATAAATCAAACACCTAAATGTAAGAATTAAAACTATAAAACTTCTAGAAGAAAACATAGGTATAAATCTTACTGACTTTAGATTAGGTAATGGTTCTTAGATAGGACACCAAAAGCACAAGTAACTAAAGAAAAACTTAGATAAACTAGACTTCATCAAAACAAAAAATTTTGTGCATCAAAAGACACCATAAAGAAAGCGAAAAGACAACCCAGAGAATGGGAGAAATATTTGTAAATCATATATCTGATAAGCGTCTAGTATCCAGAATACATAAAGAAGCTTCATAACTCAACAATACAAAGACAAATAACCCAATTAAAAAATGAACAGGGGCCGGCCCAGTGGCACAGTGGTTAAGTACACACATTCCGCTTTGGTGGCCCAGGGTTCGCCGGTTCGGATCCCGGGTGTGGACATGGCACCGCTTGGCTAATCCATGCTGTGGTAGGCGTCCCACATATAAAGTAGAGGAAGATGGGCATGGATGTTAGCACAGGGCCAGTCTTCCTCGGCAAAAAGAGGAGGATTGGCAGCAGTTAGCTCAAGGCTAATCTTCCTCAAAAAAAAAAACAAAAACGAACAAAGCATTCGAATATACAGTTCTCCAAAGAAGATATACAAATGACCAATAAGCACATGAAAAGATGCTCAACATCATTAGTCATTAGGGAAATGCAAATAAAAACCACAATGACATGAGGATGTAATATACAGCATGGTGACTATAATTAATAATACTATATTGCATATTTGAAAGTTGTCAAGAAGGTAGATCTTAAAAGTTCTCATCACAAGAAAAAAATTTGTAACTACGTATCATGACAGATGTTAACTAGATTTATTGTGGTGATCATTTTGCAACATATACAAATATCAAATCATTATGCTGTACACCTGAAACTAATATAATGTTATATGTCAATTATACCTCAATTCAAAAAAATTGAATTGTAACAAAAAGTACCAATCTTGATCAGATCAGCTTTCCTTTATTTATAGAACTATTCTAGTATAAATTGGAACTTTCAGTAACCCACACAATATAAAGTAATCTTCTCTGTTTCAATAAACTTTTTACCCTGTAAGAAAAAAAACCTGCAATGCCATACCACTTTACACTTATTAGGATGGCTAGAATAAAAAAATTGGTCAAGAAAAATTTTGGGGTGAGGATGTGGAGAAACTGGAAGCCTTATACATTGCTGGTGGGAATGCAAAACGATGCAGCCCCTGTGGAGAACAGTTTGGCAGTTGGTTAAAAAGTTAAACATACAATCATCATAAGATCTCGCAACTCCACTTAAAGTTATATACCCAATAGAACCGAAAACACATGGCCACACAAAGACTTGTCCACGAAGGTTCACAGAGGCATTATTCATAGCCAAAAGGTAGGAACAGCCCCAATGTCCACCAACTGATGAATGGACAAACAAAATGCGGTCTAGCCATACAATGGAATATTACAGTCACACAAAGAAATGAAGTGCTAATACAAGCTACAACCTGGACGAACTTTGAAAACATGATGCTAAGTGAAAGACGGCAGACAAAAAAGGCCACATATTGTATGATTCCATTTATATGAAACAGGCAAATCCCGAATAGGCAAATGTATAGAAACAGAAAGTAGGTTAGTGGCTGCCAAGGGCTGAGGGGAGTGGAGGGTCCAGGAGAAAAGGGAGTGGCTACTAATGGGAACAGGCTTCTTTCTGCGGTCATGAAAAAGTTCCAGAATTGGAGAGTAATGACTGCTGCACAACTTTGTGAATACACTAAAAACCACCGAGCTGTATACTGTGAAAGGGTGAATTAGAACTCTTGAAAGAAACAAAATAAAGCCGTTAGAAGTAAAAACAAAAAGTCGGTGTTGACAACGATGCACCAAAGCAGCCAGGCCACAAGAAGCTGCCTGGTCTGAAGAGAATTAGGAACAGCAGTGAAACTAACTGCAAGGCAGCTTGCCTCTCACTGTCACTGTGCACCAGCAGCACTCAGCGATGCAGTGACGAAACAGTCCGTCTGCCGGGTGGACTGCTCCCACTGTGCTGCTGTCAGCCACCACCATGTGCAGAGGAAAAGCGAGCATGCGTTATCACTCATTACACGTGACCTCATGTTTGCACAGTGCTTTCTAATTCCAAAGTGTCGTCACAGACACCGTTCTACTCACTCTCCCCAAAACCTGTAACGGAGGAAGAGCCATACGGAGCCTCCCTAGGGCCATGACCACTAACCAGGGGCCCGAAAGAACCCTGGATCTGACTCCTGTTCGACTGTAGGGTCTCCCAGCACATGCCCCATGTCTGATGGGCAGGACTGGGGGTCTTCATGACCAGCCCTGCACCTTGCCCCTTCACCTCTGCCGCCCCATCCCTTGGGGGTCACGATACCCAAAATGTAGACAGTCATGAACACAGGCATGTACCCAACCCTTAGTTTCCTTCCTGTCTCCATGTAAGCATTTTTTCTTCAAGGACGATCCTATCCACTCCTGCCCTGCCGCTGCCTCTGCATGTGGCAACTTCATGTTTTTTCCAACAAAGTCACAAAATGGGGACTAGCAGGAATTAGAGCAAATAACACTTACTGAATCACAGGCCCTGAATTATAAATTTTAACAGAAATATACTTAGCATAGCAACCAGGCCCATTAGATACTTCAGAGTAACTACACAGTGCACCAGACTCAGACTTCTGCTTTTGACTTGAGTGGTGGAACAGTCAAGAGAAAAAGAAGAACACTCGGAATACACTGTAGGCTGAAATACGGTGGGCGCAGGGGAGGGGTGGGGCAGATGGGAAAGAGAATTTCTTCAACAAACAAGAAAAGGCACTCACGAAACACTGATAACAGATTATCTCCACCACAAGATTTTGAGTAACTTTTACTTTCTTTTCTACACTTCTGGGTATGGTTTGATTTTTTTTTCTTTTAATAATGCTTATTTTGTAAAAAGTTAGAAACAAAATATTTTTATTTTGAGAAAAGAAAAAACTTCATCTTGGCTCAGATAGTCTTTAACAACTGTTCAGCTCTAAACCCCATAAATACCAAATTCCACAATTAGGATGCCAATGAATGAGTATGTGTTGATATGGGGGCACGCCCTGTTCCCTGGGCACACACCTCTGCCCCCACTTGCCAGGAGGCCTACATAAGCAGGCGTGGTCCTTTTCCCATCAACAGCATCCCGAGAGCTTCGTCTTGCTGAGGAGCAAGTTGGTATCAGTCAATTTTTGCTTACCTGCACAGGTGGCTCAATCATTATCCAGGCTGGAAGCATCAGACTGGGATTCAGAGGCTGGGTGCCTACGCGGAAGTAAACTCCACCCCTGGAATCGCAGGCCCAAACGTGCTGATTTCCACACGCCAAGCTTGTCAGTTTTATAGCTCCTGTAGACAAATAAAGTCCGCACACTAATTACTTTTGTAAAATGACTAGTCTTTATTTAATCTATGAACTTTGATTTTATACTTCAAAGGAAGAGATGAGGCTGCACATGCAGTTGAACTCTGCTGCTTAAGGACAACACAGCACAGGAGAGTCGCTCAGGCCTCAGGCTGCCCTGCCGCCTGCGAGGCGCCACGCCACAGCCCTTCTATGCCATGGGTCAAGACGCGTCAGCGCTGGCCCTGAGTCACCAAGCACGAGGATCAAACCTCAACGTGGTCCCATCATTAGCTTCATCAGATACATGACTATTACCAGCAAATTCTGGATTTAGGGAGAGGGAACTTATCTTTACAGGTAACTTGATCTTAATTAGAATTAAGATTAACAAACTAAGTCTCCCAGAATCTTCATTGTTCTTTTTGCATTTCTCCTTGTTGATTAAACCGATTTTAAGAGGAAAGGAAACGGGAGGAGCCTTTAAAGAGAAATTACATTTGACTATTAGTCTATCTGGCAAAAAGAGCAACAGCCAATGGTTACTGAACAGCTGCTGCAGTACAGGCTCTCAACTAAGTCTTTTAAATCCTCATTTCAAACCTCACAACAATGAGGCTTGTTATTATTATCCCCATTCACACATGAGGCCATCAGGACTCAGGCATGAAGAGACTTGCCCAAGATCCCACGGTGAGAACGTGGTTAAGCCAGGAGGCAAAGGGTGGACTAAGGCTTGCACCCAGGCCAGCCTGACTCCTCCACATCAGCTACCTCTGACCTCTGAACGCCAGTCAGCACACAGATCTTACATGATTAGTTAATCAGTTTTGACAAAGGAATATACCCGGGTAACCCACCTCCTATTGAGTTATGGAACATTTTCATCACCCAAGAAAGTCCCCTCAGGCCCCTTTCCGGTCACTCCCCTCTGCCCCAAGGCAAGCACTCTTCTGATTTCTATCACCGTAGACAGTTCAGTGTGGTCTAGACTTCCGCAGAAACAGAATCACAGGTACGCACTCCCTGGGCTCTGGCTTCTTCAGTGTAACATACGTGAGATTCATCAGAGTGCCTCTTCTTTTCATCGCTGAGGATCAATACAAGGCATGCAAACGCCACAGTTAGTTTATCCATTCACCTGTTGAGGGACATGTGGGCCACTTCCACTTTGTGCTACTAGAGTAAAGCTGCTGCAACACTCTCATAGAAGACCCTTTTGTGAACGTGTCTTGTTTTTCTTGACTAATGCCTAGGCGTGGAACTGCGGGGCTACAGGGTAGATGTTCGTTTAACTTTGCAAGAAACTGCTAGTTTACCCCTTTTCCATTTTACACGCCCACCAGGAGTGTATGCTGGTTGCCCACACCCTGCCCAGCATTCAGTTCCGGCACCTTTTTCATGTCGACCATTCTAGTGGGTGTGACGTGGTATCTTGTCATGATTTCAATTTGCATTTTCCAGATAACTATTGATGTCGAGACTCTTTTAATGTGCTTACGGGGCATTTCTATATCCTCTTTGGTAAAGTGTCTGTTCCTTTTGCCCATTTTTCTAGTTGAATGGTTTGTCTTCTGATGACTAAGTAAGAGGATGGGTCATTTTGACTTTAAAGCAGGGAAAAAGGGGATGCAGCTACATTCACTGGTGGTGCTGCTCTTGGCCACCTCACACAGTTGTCACTGGCATCAGATGACAGCTCATGTGTCTGCACCAAAACACACAGACACAGATCCTGCTGGGTGGCTATCTAGTCATGCGCCTTTAGTGTGACACCAAGTTAAACGCATTAACTCACCACTACACAAAAAACTCTCCGTATTCCTTTGTGCATTTCTTAAAGAGGTTGATTCCTCTTACACTGAAACTAACTGTATTTTCTCCTTCCTTAATCTTTTATAGAATGTCTTACCAGAGAGTTCAAACAGACTCTGTAGGGCTCTAACACTACATATTAAAAGATTTATACCAATCAAAATAAAGTACCTTCAACAGTAAATTCCAGAAACAGCTGAGAAACAGATGCTAATTTTAAAATATTAATTGAAAATTAATTTTATGTTGGAGTCTTCAACGTGCCTTAATAGGAACTACAGGCAGTAGCCGATCATGAGAAGAGTCACATGGTGACAAAAACGCACTGGGCCAGCATCTCACAGTTAGCAGTGAATTAACAACACTGCCAATAGAACATGGAGTTCACATTACAAGGAGAACATTCTATTAGAACAAATATAAAAGGCGGCTAGACTATATACTTTAGTGTATAAACAACCTTATTCTGAACTGAAGAGACAGGTCCAAATGAAAACATTTAACCGAGGGCTTTTGCGCAGCTTCCTACCTCGCAGAAGGGTCTCCCAGGCCGCCTGAACGCAGCTTTATGAGTCTGCTCCACAGAGATGACAGTCAAGACAGGTGGCAGAGACAACTGCCCTCCCTAAACAGTCCACAGCTCCTCCCAGTCCCTCAGAGTTGGGGGGGCCTCGTCACCAGTGCTGCACAGTGGGCTGGGAGCAAAAGCGATCTGTCACTTCTGAACTGAAGCAAAAAAGAGCTGGCAGGGGACCTTTCAGCTGTCCCCGGCTGCAGTGACCAAGACAGTGGAGTCACAGAGCACTGAAGCAGGATCAGTAAGCTGCCACCCAGGGGACAACGACCCTGAAAGACTAACAGGTGGAGACCAACTTGGTGGGAGCAAGAAAGCAACACTCATGGCCTTAAGTCGCTGACATCTGGGGCCTGTTATGGCAGCGTCACCAGGATGACTGACACAGACAGTGCAATTCTCCGGCCTCTCCCCACTTTGCTTTTCCCTCCCATCTAAAAAAACGTTTTACTTTATTCCACAGAACAGACATTTTCCCTTTAGGATTACTTTTAAAACATACATTTTAAAACAAAAAGTCACATTTATTTGGCGTTTTACTATTTAAAAAACACTTCTGCATAAATTACTGCATAATACAACCCTATTTGTTACCTGAAGGCATGAACTGACGCTGAATATTTCTTCATTAAATGCTGTGACCTGACGAATAATATTACAAATTGCATTAGTTTGCTAAATATTCCAGTGCCTGACATATGCATTTCTATGTGTACTGGGAAATAAAATGTTACGAGCATCTTAAATATCTGCTAAATGATGCAAATTTTCTTCCAAAAACTAGGATTGTAATAAATCACAAAATTCCATACTGTCTCTATAACTGGGTTCAGTAGCCAGACATTTAATTAAAGAACTCTCTCAATTTAATCTCAGAGCAGCAAATGATTTGGCAATTTGTATGGGGCAGAAAAGAGAGGGACGCTACATCTTAAAGAATAAATTAAAAGTAGAAATCATGTGCATGACTTGATACTTTGCAAAAGTCATCTTTGAAATTGAAATTTCTGCTTGCAATGTGAGAAAAACTGGTGACATTCCAGACTTTACAATGACCTGGTGCTGCCCAAGGTCAATGCTGGCACGAGGTAGCCCAGATCACGTCGTCAGCACTGGGAAGAAGGGCTTCCACTTTCTATGCTTTCAGCGTCGGAACACTCGTAAAGAAAAGGCTAGGGCTGAAGAGAAGAACTCAGGTAAACCCCATCTCTGAACAGCTTTTATAAAGCCAACACCTCCTGCCTCACGTCCTGGGCACGCTGATGGCAACTGGGAGCTGGGCGAATCAACTATGTGCGATGACATCTTCTGCCTCCACGTTAGGCAGTTTTATTTGTGATTATCAGGAACAAGGAATGAAAACTGCTATCTCAGAATTACCTAGAAATGGGGTTTCAAATAATAACAACCTTCCCTGACAGTTTAATTTCCTGCTGAGCATGGACATGGTCAAGCATGTGGTCCCTGTCCGCAAAGTCCCCTTACCCTCCGTGTGTAAATGCCTCATGAGTCAGGCTGAAATGACTGTTGGGACAGAGCAAGAGCAGATGCTCAGGGAACACAGTGGGAAAAGTGTCCTGATGGAGATACTGACTGAAGAGAGCTGAGGGGATGGGACACTCTCAGCTGAGGTCTGAAGGAAGAAGAGCTGAAGGGAAAAGAAGGGAGGACACTCCAGGCCATGGCAAGAGAAGTGAACACCAGGCATGGAAGGGGTGGGCATACTGGGGAAGGGCAATGGGTGGTGGCTGAGCCCCCACTGCAGGAGGCCCGTGAAAGGCAGGCCGGGTCAAGCTGTGAGGGCCCTGTGCCACCCTGAAGGCTGGAACTAGATTCTAGGGGCAACATGGAGCCATTTAACACTGAGGGCACGCCGCTGAAGCTGTGTTGTAGGAAGACAGCTCAGGAGCCCATGGGGCGGGGAGGCACAGCTGGCGCCGTGGGCAGTAGCGCAGGTGCATGGGAGACCTAACTCTGGCAGTGGCAGGAAGCAGAGGTAAGACAGCCAAGGAGGCCTTCTGGGTTAGACGGAAGAGACAGCACCAACCCCACTGGCCAGCAGAGAAGCACAAACAGCCAGAGAGGATTCTGCCCTTCCCAGCAGAAGTCAGCAGGAGCAGAGGAATGAAGTCAGGAAAAAGAGTACTTTTGGGAAAGAGAAGTTTGAAATTGAACAAAATCCTTACACGCAGAGTCACAGTCCTGACAGGCTGTGCTTCCTTTCCTTGCTGTGAGTGCCCGCCATGGCCAACTTTAAATGAAGAGTGAAGGATCCCCGTTAACCCAGGTAAGCAATGTAGGGCAGCATTAACGCCACCTAGAGCACCACACTTTCTATTCACTGCTATCCAGGGCACGCAGCCTGAGACAGCCTGCCATGGACACTCACACGTGGGGTTTCTGGGCAGGGAGCACACACCTGAACTCAAAATCTGCATCCCCTAATTTAAACAATAACTTAAAAAATCCTTTGATTCACCTGTTCGTCCCACAGGCCACACAGACCATAGTTGGAGAAAGCCCAATGACAGAACATCTGGTGGCCCTGGCCTGCCTTTCGCTGTCCCTCACCCTGGCACAGCAGAAGGCCAGCACCCCCCTCACTGCACCATGCCCACTTCCCCTGCCCTAACACAAAACCTACCAGCTCTGGACTTGCTGCATTCTCCCAGGATGTTCAAAAAATGGCAAAAGGAGTCTCTATCCATTATTTCTCTATCAGCCAGCAACCCAAATAAATAAACAAAATCTAGAGCTCAGAGCAGGATAAAGACTAAGAAAGGCAGTGCTTCCTGTAACGACCCCACACTGTGCACATCGTTAAACCCAAGTGAGCACTGCCCCACCAGCCTGAGGAGTCGAGCTAGTGATGGCTTGAGAGTGACCCCAAGCAGCATGAGCCATGCTTTTAGGATGCCACACCTGCCCGAGACAGTTTACATGTATACAGGATGCTTACTTGCATCATCTCTCTGGGGTGGGGACTGCTGTCCCCATTAGAAAGGTGATAAATTGAGGTTTAAAGGTAACACAACACTCACCCAGGGTGCTACAGCCTGCTCAGGGCCCAGCTCACTCAATTCCACCAAAGCTGAGATCCTCCCCTGGAAAGAATGGCCACCACCTCAGCAAAGGCCAAATGGGCATCACGGAGACCTCCAACACTAGCCAGCTAGCCAGTGCCAGGACTAGACTGAACTAGAAGGGAGGCATGAGCTGTGGGCTGGAGCCTGGAGGCCCTGGGCAGAGCTGGTTCCAGCAGTGTGGAGCCTGGCACAACACGCATTTGCTCTGCACCCACCGCAGTGCGATGGCCTCCTCTGAGGGACTGGGAGGGCGTGGTGCTAGGGAAACAGCTCTGCTTCGGCCCCAGATCAGCAAATGAGCACGGCCTCCCATAGTTCTCAAGATTCAGTAGTGGACAGGACACAAACCATGCCCTGGCCTTTTTACCTCAGGAAGGAACTAGCTACATCTCCCATGCTGGTGTGGCTGGGGGCTGTTGGAGAAAAGCTGAGGCCAGTAGGATCTCGGAATAAATCAAAGGCTTCCCAGGACAGGCAGAAGGGTCACCCAGCACCAGCATTCAGGGCCACTACCAGCCACAGCCTTGTCTGGTCAGTCACTGTCAGTAATGGTGGCTGGCAAATGCTCTCAAAAGCTGGAAGATGACCAGCTCTCGTGCTGGGATTAGGTTCAAAAGACAGGGTGTGATGGGGCTGACCCAGTGGCGCAGCAGTTAAGTGCGCACGCTCTGCTTTGGCAGCCCGGGGTTCGCCAGTTCAGATCCCGGGTGTGGACATGGCACTGCTTGGCAAGCCATGCTGTAGTAGGCGTCCAACATATAAAGTGGAGGAAGATGGGCAAAGATGTTAGCTCAGGGCCAGTTTTCCTCAGCAAAAAAGAGGACTGGCAGCAGATGTTAGCTCAGGGCTACTCTTCCTTAAAAAAAAAAAGACAGGGGTGCAAGGTCAAAAGCATAAAGAATCAAAATGACCCTGGAAAACAGAGCTTGCTTCTTTAGTTGAGAACTGACCGGGTCTTAAGTGAAGCTGGATATGTTTGGGGCCTTGTTGGACAAACGAACGACAGTATCTCTACACAGCAGCTGGTAGGAGCCACACGGGCTGAGACCAGCTGTGTGGGATGGTGAGAGGCCCCCGTCAGCTGGAAGTGCTGCCAAAGGCTGCTGGGGAGGGAGGCAGACAACGAGCCCTCCCTCTCTTTTTTCTTGCTTTCTTTCTCCTCCTTTTTTTTTCTTAAACGAGTACACGTGGTTGAAATGAGTACATGTACTCTCAAACATTAAATGCTTCCACAGCTCAGTTCTACCACCTAACAAACAAAATACTGGCTGTCAGTTTACCAAAGTGGGAAACCGTACAGCAGGGAAGTATTCCTAAGGCTCACATGGACCCTCTGGAGGCACCCGGTGCAGCTTCTGCCTTCAGACAAGCTTCCACCTTCAGACAAGCTACATCTAAGCTGCTGGTTGATCAAGAATTTGCCAGGAGGGGCCAGCAGGTTGGTGCAGCGGGTAAGTTCGCATGTTCTGCTTCGGCAGCCCAGGGTTCACTGGTTCGGATCGCGGGTGCAGACCTATGCACTGCTTGTCAAGCCATGCTGTGGAAGGCATCCCACATATAAAGTACAGGAAGATGGGCACGGATGTTAGCTCAGGGCCAGTCTTCCTCAGCAAAAAGAGGAGGATTGGTGGTGGATGTTAGCTCTGGTCTTATCTCCCTCAAAACAAAACAAAAAATTTGCCCGGAGAATAACCCAATGCTGTGGGCTCATTCTATTATCTTATTTCTTGGAATACGAATCTATTACTTACAAACGGCATCACGCTCCCCCGCCTGCTCTGGAACACCCCCGGGAGATTCAGAGAAGAGCAGCAGTTAGGAGATGTACATCCTCTCTGTCTGGTCAGCGATCGACACCTGCTGTTGAGCAGCTATTTGTTTTTTAAAGATTGGCACCTGAGCTGACATCTGCTGCCAATCTTCTTTTTCTTCTTCTTCTCCCGAAAGCCCCCTGATACATAGTTGTATATTCTAGTTGTGAGTGCCTCTGGTTGAGCCATGGGGGACGCCGCCTCAGCAAGGCTTGATGAGCGGTGCCATGTCCGCGCCCAGGATTGTAACTAGCGAAACCCTGGGCCACCAAAGCAGAGTGCATGAACTTAACTGCTCGGCCATGGGGCCAGCCCCTAAGCAGCTCCTCTGTGTGGGGCACTCTAGCTGTGGGGTGACAGGTAAATGTGCTGCTGGTCCTGGAGTGGGGCGCTCTCATTCTTCCGGATTTAAAGGGCACAAAGCAATGTGCCATATCCAGGTAGACCGGCGGAAGCAGCTGCATCAACAGTATTATTTCGAACAGTTTTTAGTGGCAACTTTCTCTGACTGCATGCTCCTCCTGGGTTCTGAAAACCTCACCAACTGTAAGGGGCGGGGAGTAAAGCTCCTTACAAAATTAACAGGGCCATTTACTCTGTAGGAGCAGCTAATCAATCTCCTGAAATCCAGCAACTTACAAAACGTCATAGAAAAATGCACCCAAGTTAAGCACGGGCCCCAGGAACTTGCGTCAGACGTCACATTCTGATGCGGCGGTAAGGCAGAGCCCTGGCGCCAGCGAGCACACTCCCGAGGAGGCCGTACCTAGCTGAGAGAGGTCCAGCCTGGTCCAGTGCATGCCTGCGGGGCAGCTCTTGGAAAGCGTCCTGATGAACACCTGGCCAAGGCTGTCCAGGGCCCACAGAGCGTCCTGGCAGGCGGCGTATGCCCTCATCTCGGCGTCGGGAGGCAGCTGCACTGTGGAGGGGCGCGACTGAGCATTCTGGGCGCTCACGCTGCACAGGTCCTTGCTGCTCTGGCACAGCCACAAGGAGCTTCCTGTGGAAAAGGTTCACGTTTGCCACTGACAAAACGCACAAGGCAGCCTTTGCCTTCGGGCTGCCGGCACCTGACGGCTCCTGCTCCCACACTCCTTTCTCACTGCCGCACAGCAGGGGCTCTCAGTGTGCTGGGAGTCAGAAGTCAGAGGGAAACACTGTGACCAGCCAGTGAATAAGAAATAAGCCAAAGATATGTTAAAGAAATCAAAGAAAGTAGGGCTCATGACATTTTATGAAGGCTACAGCGTTGGCTTAGCAGCTCTGAGTCTGGACATCTTGTAATGGGCTGTGGAGTCTTTAACTCGGTGTGTTTAATCAGCGCCCTGGAGGGAGCAAGGTCAGCAGATCCTCAGAAGCATGGCAGCAAGGCACTTCCCCTGTCCTTCTGGTGATGGGGTGAGGGGTGGGCTGGCAGGGTGGGGAGGCACTGGAGAAGGCGTGGAAAGCTGGAAAGCCACTTCTTCCCCTCCTCACCTCAAAATTAGATCTTTTCACTCCCTCGACCATTTTTAGTCCTTCAGCTTGAATAGATTCAGTTTAAAATGCAAATAACCCTCAGGGAAATTAAAACTTCGGTCACAATATATTATCTAAAGTATTATCTAAAACTTGTGGCCCAATACATTTTAGAGTTCAAAATTTTTTGGATTTTGAAAACCTAAAGTAACGGGTATGCCACATTTAAGTGATGCCCCGGGGAGCCAGGCAGCACCCCCAGTGAAGTGCAATAACGTTCCTGCAACGAAATGTGTGCATAGCCACAATCGACAGGATAAACAGAGACTGTAAGTAGCCTCAGCAGTTCAGGCCAGGTTTTGCTGCCAAATGAATTTGTGCCAAACTCAGTAAAAAACCTACAGTTGTCAGAGCTTACTGATTTCAGAATTGTATTCGGAGCAGTCTGGGGAGAAAGCGTTTTATTGTACCGACCAAGTAATCCATATCCTAGTGGGACTAACGGCTTGAACTAACCAACTGCTTTATCCGAACCATCAGCTTCACAGTGTCCTCTCATCTGACCCTCTGCCATCCTGGGAGGAGGCTTCGGCTGCTTCCCAGAGGGGCGCCTAACTGCCCAGGCTCCCAGTCACTGGCAGCTGCACCGCCTCTCCCGGCTCCACACCCTGTGCTCTGGGAAGGGCTGTCGTTCTGACTGGAGTCTGGAGGAGGCCGCCCCTGCGGGGAAGGTCTGCCCTAACAGGCAGCGGGACTCGGCCAGGCAGAGGCTGCTAGCCAGACGGAACGAGGCTGCCAGGAAGTGACAGCAGAATCCACGAGGGGAAATGGAAAGGCACCCAAAGAAGCCTAGAGCCTACTGGCCATTGCGCAACAGCCCCGTGACATGTTGCTGGAAGTCACTGGCCGCTGGCCACAGTATGTTCCCCTCCTTCAGAAGGACACTTTGCCTTTAGACTCACTCAGCTTCATGACGGTAGCCCCTTCTTTCTGGGGCCCAGCTTCAGGGCCCTCAGCTCAGCCAACATGGACTACTCGCCTGTGACACCACATTTCGTCTCTGAGGTCTACAGAGCCACACTCCCCTGCCAACTAGGCCACAGTCGAACTGCCAACCTCTGCACTGCATTTCTCAACCAACCTTCCTTTGTGGGAGCAGTGGAAGCCAACACAAAGGCCCATTTTGTTGCAGAAGCTGTCCCACGGGGAACAACATTATTCCAGTAAGTGCCTAGAAAGAATAAACAGGAAAAGTGTGTTAAACAAAGAAGACGATGAAAAAAACTTTAGAGCTTCAGTTCTAGACTACAACTCGTCTTCAAAACCTCTTACAGCTAATTCTAGAATGTCTTTAAATTAGGAGGTCCAAGCCAGCACTGCGAGAGCTAACCACTGGTTTCTCTCTGAACACCGAGAAGCAAAGCCATGATCTTCCCCAGGGTCAGGGGGAGGCCACACAGGAGGAGGTAAGCTGGAGAAAATTCACCAAGCAGGAGTTCACTCACAGAAATGAAGACCCAGCTGGTACATGTGGATTTAAACCTACAGGTACAGCTCTGGCCAGAGCGTGGCATTTTCAACAGTGCAGTAAGTTTCCCGCTAGGAAATGGACTATTCTCTCCTACTAGGCTCTTAGGTTTGGGTGGGTTTTTTCATTTAATGTGAAATAATTGACATGAAAATGAGCTCCCAGTGGACACTGATCACACACCATCCAGACAGTGGTATCCAAGTTGTGGGAATGACAGATTAAAAAAAAAGAAGCTGATACAAAGCATAAAGAACGCCTCCATTAAAACACTTCATACCACTGGCACCGAATTATCTTCTCAAGTTGAGATCTTAAAGCTTGTCTCTAAATGCTGGCTTTAAAGTGAAGCTGCCTATCAAGCCAATGTGAAAATAAAGTAATACACCCACCGATGAGACTTCCTTTAGCGACATGGAATTCATTCTTGCCTGAGGATATCCAGATGCCACTGTTGTTGACCCCTAGAAGGCTCGGCTGGCACTGAAGCTGCTGAGACCAAAATGCCATGCGCAGTTTATCTGCCACCTTTTCGACAGGGACTTGAGCTGCTGTGGCCACTGAATGCGTGGCGTGGATGATGGTCTGGAATAAGCTGCACTGGTCGAACACCACATAGTCTGTGATGCTCACCTGGAGGGGGAGACGGGCAGATACCCTGCTCTCAGTGCAGTTACAAGTGCCTTCTGTATGGTCACTGCCTGAGAGGTAAAGTTCTGGCCCATGTTCATCAAACACCCAAACACACATGCACATGTGCATTTGCAGAAGGACCAAAAAAGAGTCGAGCAGGACATCACTACCAAACTGCCAACTATAATTATTTCTGGGGATTGGACTTGGAGGATGGAAGAAAATGTTCACCTTTCATTTTATACACTTTTATATGACACGGATCTGTTACAGAAGCAGGTATTATTTTTGTGATCAAATATTACCCCCTCGCACCCCAGAACACTTTTATTCTAATCAGTGAGAAAGGATACTCTTGTTTTTAAATTTAGGTATTTCCAATGGACAACAGTGTCAGTATTTAGAATGATAACATGGGTTTAAAAGGTATTATAAGTAGGGCGATGAAGTAATTTATGATCTAAACTGGAACTGTTCATAATTATGCCAGGCCAACAGCAAACCCAGGACTGTCCTGGACATGCAGAGTGGGCCCTGGCTTGATGCACGACCGCTTCTCTAACGTCCTGAAAGATACATTTCTCCAGGGCACCTCCCTCCCAGGAAGGCCTCTCGTTTCTTGGCCAGCTCCGGTTGTTAGGAAGTTCTCAGATAGGTCAGAATCTGATCCTGCATGACTCTCACGCATATTTCTGCTCTCTCGGGTCTGCTTATGGAGAATGCCACCGCCATACTCCTTAGGACAGCTCCCTGCAGGCCACATTCCCAGGCCACGCACAATGAAATGTTGAGTGAAAGTGACATCATTTATTATAGGCAGCTTAATTTATAGGAAACAATAAGAAAATTATGGTAAAAATCGGTACTTTATGACACGTAGAAACACTGCCTGTTCTCTGTGAAAGGACTCGCTTGCGCTGACCGTGAGCTGCTGCGCTAACTGTGGGGTAAGCGGGTAGCTTCCCTACTCAGGACCCTGCTGACCTGCTGCAGAGCCCAGAGCCCCGTCTCTCAGCCCCAGGGAGTGCTCCACAGCCTGGCTGGGCAGCTCCAATAGAGCCCACAGAGCGCCGGGCAATGAGCTCCTGGGACTCATGCGCGGGCTGCGGTGTGCAGGCTCAGGGAGCTCTGCCCTTCCTTGGGGGGGCGTACAACACTAAGGCCGTACAGAAAGCCTAAGACAGTCTCAGCCCTAGCACCCAAAATCTGTGGATAAGCAGGACACAAATTAAAAAAACAAGAGAAAGGTTTAGCAACCAAACATAACTGGCTCTAGCACTACAAAGAAATCAATCTTGGGGCCGGCCCCTTGGCCGAGTGGTTAATTCACGTGGTCCACTTCAGTGGCCCAGGGTTTCACCGGTTCAGATCCTGGGTGCGGACATGGCACCGCTCGTCAAGCCATGTTGAGGCAGCATCCCACATGCCACAACTAGAAGGACCCACTACTGAAAATACACAACTATGTACTGGAGGGATTTTGGGGAGAAAAAAAAAAAAGAAATCAATCTTATAATAATTAAAATAACTCTGCTTCCAAATACCTCAAAGATGATTCTGTGAAGTTTAAAAATTTCTCTAAAGATAATGTTCTGAATATTATGACAAAATGGTATCTAGTTTTCTCTAGGCTACTTAAAAACAGAATTTAGTACATATACACATGAGAGTGTGTACATGTGTATAAAACCATATAATATTGCTACGAGAACAGAGGTACTCTAAAATCATCAGTATAACCTTTCAAATAGTACCTGGCATATCAAATCAGAGACATATGTACACACATATGTATTTATCAAAGAGCAAACACAACGTAGTTTCCACATTCTCATCTGAGAGACCTAAGAGTAGCCAATGGAAGACCTGCCTTCAACAAGCCACGTCTGAGGCAACAATGAGGCCTGAACCAATGGAGCCATGATCCTGAAGATGCTGTCCATCCACAGCCGCCGAGCATCGTACAGCCTCGCCACCACAAAGGGGGACTGTGGGAGCAACACGCACACTCAACAGTGCCAACGAGGGCAGTAGATGCTCCTTTGAAAACATGTTCTAGTCCACACTGGGACCAAGTCACAAATAATTAGCTCGATCATACCCTCTTATTTCTTAAAGCGTTTCCTTTTCTGGGAGTATGTGGGAAAATCCTCCTTTCTTTGTTGAAATACCATTTACTTAGAGGCCTTTGGAACAAACAGAGATGGATGAATTTTAATTGTGGGTTGAGTTTTTCAAACCTATTGTCTAGTTTCTTTTCTGAGCACATTTGTTCAGAATTAAACATCATTATTACCTAGATCCTCAAACAGATGTCACTGGGTTTACTTAGCACATAATGATAAATTTCCAAATAACACCAAAATAAAAAATAAATAAATAGAGCCTGCATATCTAAGGAAAGAGAGCTTTAAAGTTACCTCCTATGACGAAAAGTCCTTGATGTTTCTAATGTGCTCAAACACAGCAAAGTCTAACTCATCGAATAGTAAAAGTGAATACTGTTAATTTAATCCAACCTCCTCAATCTCTCTAAGGAAAAGAGAGGGGTTATAAAAACCCCAACTCAAGGAGACACCCTGGCACACAGCTCTGGAGCTGAACACCTACTTGCCACCAATGGTCATCATCTCCTTGGGGCTTCTTGGAAACGATGCCAGTTCTGAACCACAGGTTTCCTCGGATGTCCAGGGCCCACAAGGTCTGCTGGTCCCCGAGAGTTATACAGACAGGTTCTAGAGCTTGCCTTTCACTGAAAACAAGGAAGAGTCATCAACGTGGGAGTGACCACTCATTCAATGCACCCAAGCGTGTCTACGATTGCCAGCATCAAGTGTCTCCTGTGTGGGTTTGGCCTGGGAGAAGAGACATGCCCCACCCACAAGTTCCAGGGAAGGAAGCTTGAGTTTTGAGTTGAATTACTGAGCAATACATATTGTTAAAATGTGTGGTAGCTTCTGAAACACATGCTGAAGACCCAGAATGGCAGGGAAAGAAAAAAGTGAGTAGCAACATATGGAATTCAAGGCCCTGAGTACCTACCTCCATCTCCCCACTCCCTCCTTCACTCATTGAGCAATGGAAATTCCTCCCCCATGTACCAGGCTGTGTTGCACAGCTGCAGCTGAGCAGACGCCCTCTTTGTGGGCAATGCCCTTCCCCCTCCCATCTGTCTGGCGGTCTTTCTCAACTTCAAGGCTTAGCTGCGGGTCCACTCTGCACAGTGCCTTCCCTACCTCTCCGGGTGGAACTCGGGCTCCCTCAGTGCTGCGGGCTCCCCTCTCTGATTTAGGATCATCTATACTAACTGGCCTCGGTCAGTTTACGCGGCTCTACCAGACTAGGAGCTCTGTGACGGCAAGGCTGTGGTTCAGTTATCTTTGCACACCCAACCCAGCACAGTTATAGCTCACAACAGGTACCTGCTCAAGTCTACTGGGTTGCTAAATTCAAACCAAGAATATCCTAATCTAATTTTTCCAAGGACTATTAATAATTTCACACTAGCAAAATGATTTGATGGCAATTCTGTATTCAAATTTTGAATAGTATAAAGTAACCAAATAAATTATAATTCAGAGATCAATTTCAATTGACTAGGATCATAATAAAGAAAAACATTTGGCCCTAAACCATCTGAAATTCTAAAGAGAAACCACCCGACACTGGACAGTCCTGAATAGAGGCTGTTAGGAGAGACTCATGACCACATGATGCTCAAGGTTACACAAGAGGGCAGCAGCATTTTTAGGAACTGAGCTCTGACCCAATGTCCAGTATGCTGGTCAGAGGTAGGCACAGGGCATCTCCAAGGTCAGGCTGCTGAAATTGGCTCTGACAATTCCAGAAACACTATTGCCATGGAAACCTTCAGGGAACCAGCCTTGTTCAAGAAAGGCTCACAAACGTGCCTTAACAGGAGTCAAGCTGACACAGAAAGGAGGGGGGGACAAACAAGACACTGAAGATGTCTGCTCCACCCCACTGGTACCTGACGATGTCACATTTCCACTGCTCCCCTTCTGGACAGAAGCTGCTCACGCCCTCGCGGTACAAGAGGGCTCTCTGTTCTGTCAGCACCCACACCACGCTGTTTCGGGCTGTGACCTGGGACAGTGGGTAAGGACAGTCGACCTTCACGGCTCTAGCACAGGGACGATCCACGCTGAGACCTGCCAGGGAGATGGACAGGAAACCCCCGGAGACACATAATCAGGATTTCATACCTCATTTTTATTCTGTTGTTTGTTTACTTTTCTTTCTTGGTATTTCGCTATATTCTTTTGTAATAAGTGCTTTTTCTTTTTAAGGTCTAGTCAACATAAAATGGTTAAATTGTGCTTAAATATAATATCTATCTAAAGTGTTTTCAGACACTCCTTGAAAACTGAAGGAATAACAATTCAGAATCCTCTAGTATCCCAAAGTAGCTTGAGACGTTCTGAAAGCCCAGAGCAGGAGGGCAGCCGTACCTCGAGACAAGACAGCCCAGGGCGAGAGCAGCGCGTGTCAGAGATGACGTGCTGCCCTGGACACTGGACGGCTGGGCCCCTCGGGGCCTCCGCTGTGGGAGCCAGCAGGGACCTGAGGCCTCTGGCCATCCTCTGCAGAGGAGTTGCAACAAAGCAGCTCCTGTCTCCCGGCTTTTTCCGGGGGTGGGGGTGGGGGGAGGGGGTTCCGCCCTAAAATGAAAACCTCGAATCCCCTAGATGAAATGCAAGGTCCATCACTCTGCAAAGCTGTTCCTGACTCCAGTCCAAGGCTTTCTCCCACCTCCTTGCAGGCTGTCTAATGAGCTTGAAGGCCACTCCCTGGGGCACTGGAAAAACAGCTGTTACCTAAAACCCCAGATTCAGTGGCCTCAGCCTACAATTAGGTCTCAGTACTCAGATGTGCTCCCCGACTAATCACAAAAGCACCTGATGGTACCACAGTCCATGGGTTATACTTGCTCGCACTCAACTGGGTGGGAACCACGCGCGTGACTTCTTATACAACAAGCCCTCGGGCCAACCGCAGACACCCCAACCCAGGAGGTCTGGGCGGGATCTGGCTTGTCTGAAACCACGGCCCTGGTGATTCCTAAGACATTACGGGTCAAGAGGTCACCCACTCCTCACCCCAGGGCAGGAGCACCCCATTTTCCCCCAGGAACAAAACTCCAATGCCCCTGGAAGACGGGTGTGCGCACGCCTTTCTGGGGCTGTTTTCACTTGAAAGGAGACAGAGGAACTGGGCTGGAGAGACCAGGGCTGGCACATGACCCAGAAGCTGGCACACTGCCCCCCAGGGCCCAGGCAGGAGGTTCCAGGACACACCAGCTCTCCCACATCTGAGAGGGCTGGCACATGACCCAGAAGCTGGCACACTGCCCCCCAGGGCCCAGGCAGGAGGTTCCAGGACACACCAGCTCTCCCACATCTGAGAGGGAGCCAGATGTGCAAGGGTTTTCAATCTCAGTGAGACATCCCTAGCTGACAGTTCGTAACAGAGATGAAAACATTCTCTCGGAATCAGCAATATTAAATGATTAGAAGATTGATCTTTACACAAATCCAATATGGCCTCTTGACAACCAAAAAAGAGTTCCTGCCCAATAATCCTTCCAGATACTGATAAATCACATTGCTTTTGGAAACTCATATCCTATTTTGCTGACAGTACATAAAGACTGACTCTCATTACAGTTTATTTTTAATAAGCAAGTCCCACTGTGTCTCTTCCAGCAGCTAAAGGTTCCCCTCAGGACAGTTTCCTAAGACAAGGTGAACTGCTATTTAGAGCAAAAATTATTTCCAGCTTTTTCCTGACCCATGCGTAACTAAGTGTACACAGGCAGGCCTTTGATCTGGCTTAAAAAATCGAGCCATAAGCTACAGGAAAAAATGATTTTAATGCCATTTCTCAGTTATTCTTTCCTCTTGAGATCAGATATTGCAAAATAAGTGATGGGCAATGTCAGCCATAAGGAGAACAAGATCCTGTTTTTGTACCTCAATAAATAATCTTATTAATTCTTGCCCTAATTTTGTTTCGGGTTGACTTTGAGTCAGTAGCAGGAAACTGCTAATATATTCCAATGGCAAATACTCTTTCTACAAGTGTTTTAATTTAAATTGATTTTCAGCCTCTTAGTCATTATGATTGTTCTAAGTGTGTCACTAACAAAGCAAGGGACAGTGAGAAGCAGTTATACCAGAACCGAGGGCACCTGAGCACCACCTTCAGTTACCTGTCTGCAGGTACAGATCTCCATTTGTCCTGATGATCCAGGCTGTGTCATCGCTCAGGGCCACAAATACGGCCTGCGGCAGAGCTTCGTACCAGTGCCGCCTCCCCTTGATAGTCACTTTTCCACAAGCGAAAGCTCGGTTAGATTTCTGTTCAATCTTCCAGAGAAGGGCTCCTGTGGAAATGAACACTCTACTCACTGTCCAATAAATATTGAGAACTAGTTACACAAGAAAATTCATTCTGGGTGCTGTGGGGGAGAGAAATTTCTAAAACCCCCTCGCCCTTTGCTTCTACCCCAACTGGGAAAGAGCCCACAGCAACAAGGTTTGAACCCTCGGCCACCACCCACCAGCTGTGTATCACTTCACGTCTCCAACCCTCATTTCCTCATCTGTGAACTGGGTACCATCTCTCCCCTACAGGGCTGCGAGCAGGAATGGACGTGAGGACGTATCAACGACACGGCACTCAGAGTTGGACATGTCACAGGCATTGTGGCAAGGAACAGGAGCAGTGCCCACACTGCTAGGTCTGCCGAGATGAGCACCCAAGTTAACGTCATGAAGCCCAATTAGTGTCCTAAGAGAGGCTGAAAAGTCCCACCAGGACTCAAAGGGAGGGGGTCCCTCCTGGACCAGCAAAATGGATAAGATGCATGAAAAAGCAGCACTTGAGCTGGGCGGTCCTTTTTTCACTGAGAAAGGGATTCTGATAAAGAGAGATGAAGAAGGGGAGGGAAGGAGGAAGGGAGACAGGAAGGCACTCTGTGCAGATGGAGGGTGTGGCACAGGCCAGGTGGCCAAGTGTAAGAAACCACCAGAGTCACCAAGAGCACAGACAGCTGGACCAGGGGATCTGCATGAGGGGCTGAAGGAAGAGAGGAAAAGCAAAACAGACGGCCAAGCTGCTGCCCAACCCTGAATGCCCTGGGGCACAGGGGCTCAGGTGCCCACCGAACACATGGCCCTCAAGGCCATCTCAGCCGAGACCTCCAATCTGTGGTGACAGAGTTCAACCAGCACAACAAGGGACTGACTGGTTGGGAAACACAAAGCAATTAATATAATCAGGAAAGAACCAAAGTTTCTAAATGGCTGGGGAGATGAACCCAAAGGTAAATGGCAAAAAAGAATTAAAATGCACAATTATATAATGCCAGTTAAGTGGGGAAGTTACTATCTCAGTCAGCCGGTAGGGAAAAATAGTTTTCAAACAAGCAAAGAGATAAAACAAAGCAACCCTGAACAAACCAGTATTTCAAAAAGTGACAGAGACTGGGAGAGCTGAGGGAAGCCATCTCAAAGCACAGCAGCCACAGGGGACCAGGCTGCGGCCACAGTCTCAGTTTTGTCTGACTTCTATTCCAGTGTCCTAACAACAAAACAGTTACTACAAGGCAAAAACACATAAATTCTTCTGTTCTACCTACCCACCCCTCCAAACAGGAAAAGCGGCCGACAGTATGACAAACAGACGAGCAAGTGACCCCATACAGACAAGGGAGGTATTGCAGCCTGGCAGAACCTCGTTCAGGAAATGTCTGCTACAATTCACTAAAAATGGCCTAACTGTGGCATGAAAGAATGAATATCCTCATGGGCCATCCAAATGGTCACAGACGAGGACCATTTTCTTTTTACAGTCAGGGAGTATTCACTCAAAGCAGACATATAGCTCATTAAAAAACAGTTTCTAAAAAGGAACCAAGTAATCTGAACATATCCAACATACCCACGGGCCTATCTTTGTTAATTCAGTTGCCTTAAAGCAACATAAGAAATATAGAAATACATTTTAGTTTTATAAGGAGTTAGTACGTTAATATCTCTCAAAAATAAAAACCCTCAAAATTCAAGCTATTTGTATAGCTTACAAAAATATGTTCACATGTTACCACTGCAACTAATAAAAAACCAACAACTCAAACTGAACATCCATTTACACAATTTGTTAACTGATGTCAACTGAAATAGTTCATGTTCTTTGCTTCTCCAACCTGCTGGAAAAGGCAAATCTGTTGAATGGATGGAGTTGCCACAGGGCTGCTGTGAGCCAAGACGTCCACACTGGGGTAGGAGGCAGGGAGTCGGGGAGGCGAACCTGAGGGTGAGACTGCCACCTGCTGGACGGCATCTTCAAACTTCTGCCAGCGCAGCCCAGCGCCAGGCAGCGCACTGCAGAACAGGCCACCTTTGTAGTCCAGGCACCAAATGTATTTCTCGGAGACCGCCAGGCTGAGTATGCCGTAGCCGGGACCAGAGTAGCCCATCCAGCTTTCTGCAAACTAACAAGGACAGAGCCTGGTGAGTTCTGTGGCAGGGGACACAGCTACATTTGTTGTACCGCTGTCAACAAGAAAGGCACACAGGAGATCATGAACGTCATAGAGCTGAAAGGATCTTAGAGAAGCCATGCAGGGACCTGCCCCTGCTATCTCTGGACCACGCTCTAAGAAGCATTCTGAAATGGAAGCTGTTGTCCTCCCATAAAGACCCCAAAACACCCCCAGATAACACTTGGTCATATTTTAACATCCTTCCTAATGAAGTCCTTCCATTAAAAGGATCTAGTTTTATTCTAGAGGTATACCTCACTTTACACAAAGAGGAGTGTTCTTGAATACTTGCAGGGAAATGGATGTTGTGTACATCCAAGCATTAGAGATGCATTAGGAGAAGCAGCACTACCACTATCTTTATTTTTTCACTAGATTTTTTTCAAGCACTGTTCCAGTCATCGGACACGTGGCACACCATGTGGTGATGGAAATGTGTCCAAGACACTCTGCCTGCCTGAATTTTGTAGACTAAGGTTGAGCTGCCAGGATTCTTTAAAAAAATCAAAGCTAGGGACCAGCCCTGTGGCATAGTGGTTAAGTTTGGTGTGCTTCACTTCGGCAGCCTGGGTTCACAGGTTCGGATCCTCCCCAAACCCAGACTTCAAAACATATGGCCTATGGGTTTCGCATAGGAATAGAATTTCTTTCCATAAAAAGGCAAATAATCTGTTTGCCAGTGATTTCCTTCAAGAAAGACGCCCACATACCTGATCTGACTTCAGCAGCCCAGTGTCATCTGTGCCTGGCTGGTTTAGGTCCTGCAGGGAGCGACTACTTCCGAGCTCTGTCACACTTGTCTCCGAGCATGAAGAGGGCAGCCCGTGTGCGTAGATGTCCTCCTCGTCACTGGACGTCAACACCTGGTCCCGTGAAGGCTGCTCAAGGCGAGGCTCATGGACGCTGGCTGCCAAAGTAGAGACTGGGGGAGTGAGTCGTCCTCCTACCTCCCCCAAGTCACATTCAGAAGTGGCCATCACCCTCTGGCCTGTGTCATCAGCAATGACAGCATGCCAGGGATTTGAGCTGAGGTGGTCAGGGGCCTCTGCATGTGTTAGGAAGCCCTGCTCTTCGCTGAGCTCCTCAGGGCTGCCTTCGTCAGCTCTGGTCCCCAGCAGCCACTCCTCAGCACTAGGGGCCCAGCTGAGGCTGGAAGGCACTGGGGGTGAGGCCAGGATGGGGGCTTCAGAAAAAGTGCTTTGGGGGTCATCAGGCTCCATGTCTCCCACCTCCTGGGCCTCAGCAGAGCTGTACTGTTCTCGGCAGGGTAACTGTCTGCTACTCTGTCCATCGTGCCCAGGACAAGGCTCCTCTTCGAGTTCTGTGACATCACTTCCTTCCACATCTTCCCTGGGTTGCAACAGTGAACTCAACACTCCATTGTGTGGCTCCATCTCGCCTGCTTGGTTACATTGTGGGATTTCAGTTCTACTGTCATTTTCTTCCTTCAGTAAGTCAGGGACTGGTTCAGCCACATCCAGGACACTAAATGCTTCAGGGTCATGATTTTCTTGCAGGACACCATTCACCTCTCCAATGAGGTTGCTCTCCTGGTCAGGAGGCTCTGTGCTTAACCGATCCATGATGCTGCCCAAACTTGAGGTCATGGACAGCAGGTCTGCATTCAAGGACTGGGGACTGTCACCAGGAAACTCACAGCAGGGAGTCGATTCAAAGGAACTGTGGCAGGTGCTCCTGCTTCCGCCTTCTAATTTAAAATAAGAATGCTTAAGATGAGGTATGAGTCTATATAAAGAGGAAGACATTAATTACAAAGCAAAATTTTTGCTTAAGAAAAAATACATTTTAAATGAAGCATTTTTAATTGGTGAAGAATAAATAAATCTCTTAAGTACAAATCATCCCAATGCAGGGATGTTTTTAATGGATGCAAATATCATACACACCAATGGGCTCTGAGACCTCACTCCAGAAATGTTAACTAAGAAAAACAAAGGAACAAATGGATCATAGACCAATTTTTAAAAAGTCTTAAAAGGGGCCAGCACCATGGCCGAGTGGTTAAGTTTGTGTGCTCCACTTCGGCGGCCCAGGGTTTCGCCAGTTCGAATCCTGGGCGCGGACATGGCACCGCACATCAAGCCATGCTGAGGCGGTGTCCCACATGCCACAACTAGAAGGACCCACAACTGAAAATATACAACTATGTACCGGGGGGGCTTTGGGGAGAAAAACGAAAAGTAAAATCTTAAAAAAAAACAAATTATTAAAAAGGTTAGGACTCTGATAACATTGTCCTTTAATACTGTAGTGATCTTTAGTTAGAGAGGCTTAATAGGCGTCAAGGAGTAAAAAGTTAAAAAAAAATTCACTGTTAAATCTCATGATCCATCCAGATACCAGTGTAAACCTTCTACTTCTATGACTTCCCATCCAGATTCATAGAATCTCTGGTCTAATAAATGGTGTATGTGAATAAACCAACATTTCTATTTATAAATTGAAAAGTATAAAACCCAGACTCGTTAAGCAGGGCAGTAAGTACACAGGTGTATGTTATATTATTATTTAAACCTTACACAGATGTTTACATGTGCATGTATAAGGTATAAAATAGTTCACAGTAGAACTCCTCTGCGGGAGGAACACACGTGTTTTCTGAAGACCTCCTCTGCTTTTCAATGAATAGGCAAGTGCTCATTCAGTGAGAAGCAGCACTCCCAACAAGTTTGGTAAAACTGACCCCACGTGAGCAGAAGGAGTCGGTGGCACTTGCTGCAGACGGTACCTGTCGTCTTCTTCTTCCTCTTCTTCTTTTTCACTTTGAGAGGCTGCACAACAAGCTCCTGGTCAAAGTCTTCCGAGCTAATCACACTGAATCTCTGTGAGGTGGGCTGGCTGCCCTTGCCCAGCTCTGGGGCTGCCTGGAGCCCGGAGCCACTGTCAGTGGAGTTGAGTGAGCTGCTCCTGCTCCTCGGCTCGCTGGCCATGGAACTGGCCGCAGAAGAGCCTCTGAGCCTCGTCTCAGAAACTGCGGCTCCCGATGGTTTCTCCACACGCTGCACATGGACTTCCTCTGTACATCCTGATGTCTCCAGAGCGTCTCGCACTGAGAAAGAAGAACTCGGTTTTACTACTGATTATCCAAGAGAAAGTGGACATGCTCTTGTTCAGATGTGCTGGCCCTTAACTACCAGCCTGCTAAATTCAGAGAAACTGGCAGAACTAAGAGAATTACACAAAAGAGTCCAACAAATGGTTTTTTGTTCTCCAGGAAGCTCAGTAAAATAATTCACCACAGCTGTCTTTTCAAATAACTCAAGAGTAAGGGAATACCACTAAGCATAGAGTATTTCTCACTTCAGTTCACAAATAATTTATAAAGGAGAGATGCCTAATAAAAAAGGGCTTAGTGACATCTCCTATTTATCCTACACCTTAAATATATTTTAGTATTACTCAAAGGGCATTTGAAAAAGGTATGTGTTCCTGAGCCATAAAAAAGAAGAAAATCGTCCCATTTGCAACAACGTGGATGGACCTTGAGGGAATTATGTTAAGTGAAATAAGCCAGATAGAGAAGGACAATCTCTGTATGACTCCACTCATATGAGGAATTTAAACATGTGGACAAAGAGAACAGATTAGTGGCTACCAGGGGAAAGGTGGGGTGGGGATGGGCACAAAGGGTGAAGGGGTGCACCTACAACACGACTGACAGACAATAATGTACAACTGAAATTTCACAAGATTGTAACCTATCGTTAACTCAATAAAAAATAAAAAAGAAAGAAAGAAAGAAAAAAGAAAAATGTATGTGTTCCTATAATTAAATTTTTGAAATTCAAGGAAGGAAAGGTAATTTTTCACTAGAACAAACTCCAGACAGAGAAGCTCACTGAAGCAGTCAGCGCCCGATGCAAGCAGAAAGCAGACTGTGGACGGCGCAGGGGAATGCTGAGTCCCGCGCTCTGTCTCCATGGGCTCGTCTTTCTCTCAATATGACACCAGAAGGTCACCAGGGCCAGAATGGTTCCAGCCACAGTGCCCTCAACACAAGACTGTAGACCCTTTTGATCCATTCGGCCATCCTTTTGTTACTGGTACCTACTGAATGCCAGACACCGTTCTAGGTGCTGAGAGACGGAAGGCGGGAATTCCTGCTCTCTCCTAGGGGTGGTCAGGGGCAGACTGTAGGCTCTGGAGCACACACAGAGGCCCAGAAGAGCAGGACTCTGCTCTGAGTGAAGCCCAGGGCAGAGAAGGGACTTGTCGAAGACTATACAAGCTAACGGCAGATCTCGGTCTAGAGGTGCGCTGTCCAATACTGTAGCCACTACCCATGTAGCTATTCAAATTCAGATGAATTACAATGAAACACAATTTAAAATTCAGTTCCTCAGTTGTACCCGCCACATTTCGAGCACTCAGCAGCCACCCATGGACAGTGGCCACCTCCCGGACAGTGCAGATACAGAGCATTTTCATCACTGCAGAAAGTTCTACCAGACAGCCGTGGTCTGGAGCCGAGTCTTGTGGCTCCATGTCAGTTCTCTTCTGTAAGCTGCAGTGCCCCTTGATGACACTGGTAAGGCCCCCAGCTCATAAACGCAAGAGTCAGAGCTTATTCCCTTTCTATAAAAACTATGATTTTGGAATGATATTCATCCCAACTTGCCCTCTGTGACTTAAGAGGTAATTCACTCCTTTTTCTCTCCATCTCTTAAGAGATTATAAATTTTGGATCAAGACAGCTCTTATTACATATTTATCATTCAAGTGCTAAAAATCTGGCTAATATGAGTCTTTTTTATATTTTCCTGTTAGCTACACTTTGTATTCTAACATTACAAAAAGACAAAAAGCCATAGTGACGTCTCACGCAGCCGTGTCTGCAGATCAGCATGGGTGTCCAGCGGCTAGCGCTCTGCCCTGTGCTCAAGGGCAGGGTACTCCCCTTCTCTGCCTCAGTCCCAGCTCTCAGCGGGCCTGAGGTTTCCTGTCCAGGATCCCTGCTCCCTTTCCTGCAGTTACTCAGACACTAGCTAACGCTGATCAGAGTAGACATAGTGAAGATGCCCCCGTGGCCAGGAGACCCCAGGGAACTAGGAGTGTGCTAACAGCTATGGCAAAGGGTTCCCTTGTGACTAACTTACTGAGGCAGAAGTATCAGCTGGAGCAGAAATCTGAATGGTGATTTGGGGTGTGTCACTCACTACCCCATCCTCAGTTTCCCAATCTGTAAGACGAGGCTGCCAGTGATTAACAAACTCGTACTGAGGGTCTTCTACAGACCACACGCTGCTGGGGTCACACAGGTGAGTCACAAGATCCTTGAAACCAAAAAATGTATTCTTCTGTGAGGATAAGGTAAATGGTAAGAAAATGACTCTGCAGTCAAAATAGCAGTAGGAAAAAAGGCCCCCAGGAACTCAGTGAAGAGAAGGAGAGACTGACTTAACTAAGGGACTCGGGAAAAGTATCAAAAATGCAGTGATACCTGAATTGGGTCTTGAATGATGAGTGGGAAGGGTTGCAAAGGAGGAGGGAGGCACGGGGGCAGTGGGCACCGCCCCGACAAAGGCAGGCCACGTGTGGGAGCAGCCACACGTGTGGTGTCTGGACACATCTAGTGCACTGGGGCGAGTGGGTGAAGTGAGAGCTGAGACAGGGCAGCTGGCAGCAGTGGACTGGAGGCGCCCTGCACAACGCCTCATAAATGGTGGCCACAGGAGCACAGTGAGCAAGGAAGGGACAAGGCCACTCCAACCCCAGGGAGGAAAGCAGCCTAGATGGGGAAAGGCGGTGGCAGGGAGACCCACAGGTCACGTTCATGTTTCCCATAGCTTTGTCACAAGAGTCAAACAGGACACCTGTGAAACTGCTCTGTGAACTTCAGAGGCCACACAAATGCAGGGGCTCTGGGGCCAGACAGAAGCATTGCAGCGGTTGTGTCTGTGGGCGAGTCACTGCACCATGCTAAGCCTGTTTCCTCATCTACAGGATCAGTACCTTCCATAAAGGGTTGTTCTAATGATTTTATAAGATCATGTCTCTAGAACATAGTGAGCACAAAGTTAGTGACACGAGGAGGGGGAGAGGGATGCGGGGAGAGGCAGCGTGGGAGGGGCCCACACAGCAGTTGTTGTCACCATCAGGAACAAGTTCACTCATGTGCCTCAAATATATAAAGTACTGTGGGTGTGTGCATGAGAATACATATGAAGATTCTTTGCTCATGAGAATTGGGGTTTACATGAATTACAAAACAATGTCAAAAGCACAGAGAATAATCAATACTACAAGGAAGAACTACGTTAAGGGTAAAAGATACATCACAGATGACAGATTTAAATGTTCCAAAATCTTACGCGAATCTATGTCTCTTGAGGCATTAATCCCCCACGCTGTCCCAGAGTGTCAGAGATCAGTCAAGAGGGTGCTGAGTCCTCCCTCCTACTCACCCAACCTCTGCATCCTCCAGACCCCAGGAAGCAACTCTACCAAATGTGAGACCCTGCCTGACGTAAGCCTTAAAGAAGGTAACCTTCAAGAAAAGTATCGTAAACAACATTTTAAGAATCACAAGAAATTCTCCATATATCTTCTTGTTTAGATAAAGCTACAATCATTTAGCAAAATAATGATAAGTTTTATAAATTATAAATTGCAATTACATACACAGAGTACATTTTATAACAGATACAAACCTATTGACGGTAGTCCTTCAGGCCTGCTTGAAATTCTTATAATGTTCCTATCTCCCTTTAAGAAAAATATTTCATTTTCTGTGCAGGAAACAGACACGATATCACCGGATCCTTCCAAACCAGCAATTGTGGCCTGTCCAAAAAAAAACCCACAAAATGAGGCAACAGTAGTAAGTTAAACACATACACACATGTGCAGGAACCCAAAGGAGTCCAATGACAATTGCACTTTGTTTTGACAACTTTCTGAAACTTGTTAGAGTAAGTCAATCCAAAGTTAGGTAATATCTGACAGATATGTGACTTGGGAGTCCAACGATTTGCCAGTAAATTTACACGACTGAGCAAGCAGTTCCCCCCAACCCAGGCCACTCTCTGCACCATGGCCCCCCCTGCTCCCCACTCCCTGTGGATGGAGCTCATACTCCCTTGTAGGACCTGCCGGTTAGCCTCACACCACTGCCTTCCTCTGTGCTCCAGCTGCATCGAATGACCAGTCCAAACCCCAGCCCTGTTCCTCTGTGATGTCATGCCCGCTGCTTGAATTCTTTTCCTGTCCCTTGCTCGCTGGGAGACTTCCAAATTGATTTGGATGCCACCTCCTTGGGAAGTGTCCCCTGATGAGCTCGCCCTCCTTGGCAATGCCCAGGACTCCTCATAGCTCACAGCACTGTATACAAACCCCTGTTTGGCACGTCACCCCTAGGCTGGAATAACGTGCCGACAGGTCTAGATCCCCCACTGTGTGTACTCCTGTGGGAGAGACTAGTGTGCACTGCAACTCCTGGTTTTGAAGGAGCAAATGAAGGGACTGAGGATTCCCTTAACGTCATCTGAAAGCAGACAGCAACCAAAACACAGGACATCCTAAGCCCACACTGATTTTTAAAAAATTCTTGCTTTTCAGTCAACACTGCAAATAAGAGACCGGTTCACTATAGAAGAGAAGAAGGGACTAAGTTCTTTGTTAATTCTTAAACAATTCTGATGAACAGCCAGAAACATGACATTAGTTTGAAAGCTGCCAATTGTGTTGCCCTGTTCAGACTCTGACGGCGGCCGCAAAGTCTGCTCATGGGCAGCCCCTCTGTCTCCATTTCTCCACCTATAAAATGAAGTTAATTATAACTACTGAAGAAAGCCCTGGGTAAGTGCTCAGAAGAGAGGGACTGATATACAATTACAAAGTAGCTTGACCCCACTAATAAATAAATGTGCATTAAGTTCAAAGAGTACCCAGAGAAAAAAGACAAGTTAAATTCTCTGTAATTGGGGAAAAATACAAAAACGTCTTTCAAAATGTTCCTTAAGAAACAGAGAGCTAAAAGGCACCTTGGTGACCACCCGACTCCACCCCATGTTCCAGGTGAGGAGGCCAGGGGGGGCAACGGGAGACTCTGGTGAGAGGCAGAAGCAGGTGAGAATCTTCCAGGAAGAAGAAGGTCTAGCCTGGCTCTGCCTTTTCGGGTCAGTTTTCTTTCTACGAAACCAGTATGACCAGGCACGGCTGATAATAATAGTTAAGAAGGCTTCAAAGAGGTGCAGATGAATCTCACTTTCTGGTGACACACACCAAATCAGAAAGCCCTTTAATGTCTGCAGTGAAGCTCTGCTTAGGAAAGAAAAGGGTGTCTGTCAGAGGGCTGCTGGCCTCCAGAAGAGCAGCAGGAGGGAGTGGGGGTGGGGATGGGGATGGGAGGCGAGGAGGTTATGTACCAAAAAGCAAAGCTCACTCCCGAGACAGCGAGAAGCTGAAGCTGTACCAGACTCTCATGGTAGTCATCTGCTATCACTCTGATTATTAGAAGCAGAAGTTGTCTCCTACCATGATTTAATGATGCTGGAAAGCTGTCCAACATACATCATTGAGTGGAAGAAAAACAAATGGCAAAATAACGTGGCTCCATTTGGGTGGTGGAAACCAGGGGAAAAAACAGAGACCCCAGTGCCGCGCAGCGCCATCCTGGGTGGGCGTTGGGGAGCAACTCCCTGGGTCACGGTTTCCATCATGTTTGAGTTTTCATCTATTACGCTCACACTAATTTGGTCAGAAAAAACATGATCCAAACAGACTACAAAGAACAAGTTTAATTTTGTGCTTAAATACAAAAAAACCCCACATAATTTCTTGGCAGGGGAAAGGACTATGAAGATTTAAACCAAATATTTTTTCAAATCTACAAAAATAACCAAAGCTTCATTTGATTTCCTTGAGCAGCCCAATGGAGAAAGTGAAGCATCAGAATCAATACTGTTCCTTCGATCACCCCGAGAGAACTGAGCAGAAGAGTCCATAAACATTCTCCTCACTGTAGAAACCAAAGATGTGGTACAACCACTTCACTCACCTGGTTGATGGTGTCTAGAAGGTAGATACTGTATTCATTCCAGCTCAAGACCCAGCCTTCTTGAAAGAAACATGAAACAAGGCCCAGGTGTTTCTCGGGTAAGCTGCAACTGCCCCTGTCAGAGGACTCCAGACGCGGGTACAGTTCGAAAGGCTTGACTCCTCCAGCAAAGACATCCTTTAAGATAAATGTGGCTTGAACAGTCCCATGGATGTCAGCCTTCCATAGCCGGAGCCCAGGCCGTGACGCATATAGGGTTAGATCACTTTGCTTACAAAGTCCTGGTATAAAACAAGCCCCAAATTTGCCAGTGCTGAAATTAGAGGAAGAAAAGAAAGAAAAAGAAAAAACCAAGCACGGAATGACTTAACATGATATTGTTGTCAACTTCTGATATTAACTGTAACAAAATTTTTTGGCTGAGCCTAAACAAGACTGATTTATTTTCAAACCCTCTTCTACAGCTTTTTTGTTGTTAATTGAACCACACTATCATCCCTGTGCCCACAGGGCACAAGGGCACTGTCAACACTTCCTACAACACCCTCAGAAGTGTGTAACCACCACACACATGTCATAATTAAAGTGGTGTCGGTGGTTAAAGTTCCGGGCTCTCTGCTTCGGTGGCTGAGGGTTCGCAGGTTCAGATCCCGGGTGTGGACCCACTCCACTCATCAGCCAAGCTGGGGAGACATCCTACATACAAAGTAGAGGAAGAGTGGTACAGATGTGGGCTTAGGGCTAATCTTTCTCCAAGCAAAGAAAAAGAGGAAGATTGGCAACAGATGTTAGCTTAGGGTGAATCTTCCTCCCTTAAAAAAAAAAAAAAAAAGATAAGCATATTTCAAAAGTGAAACTGTTAGATTGTTGGGTAATTGCTGGGTTGTTGAGTAAGAGCATATTCAAGTTTGGAAGACAATTTCAAACTTTTTTCAATGTCATTACACCAATTTCTACTGCCATCAGCAATTTATGCATACTCATGGTTCCACATCTTTGCCAATTCTCAGACTTCTACCCGAGTTCAAATTTTAAGAGTTTCAGTTCAACCCTAAGACCTGCTGATTCTCTCTCTAAAATGTTCCTCTAATTATGAACAGTGGAAAGAGTACCAGCTTCAGATGGAGACCTCAGCTGGATGTTCAGCTCTGCCATTGAATAGCCATGCGGTGCGTAACCTTTCCAGACCTCAGTTTCCTAATTTGTAAACCAGGGGCAGCAATTCCCACCTCAAAGGCTGAAGTGAGGATTAAATAAGGTAATATGTGAAGGCACAAAAGGCAATAACTGTGACACTGAAAGTCCCCACAAATGCTTGACTGCCATGCACCAGGCTGCAGGTGCTCACAGCTGGGAGCTGCCTCGAATTCTGCCCGTGTCACCATCGCATGTTCTCAAGTGTGCTGTGCCTCCCTCCTCACCCTCACTGCACACACCCGACCCCCTGAGGGGCTGTCCCCACGGCTCATCCCACACAGTCACACAGATAAAGCTGTTTGGGCACTTCTCTGCACGTTGGTATCATACTGGGTCCCTCTGGCTCCTCAGTAACTAAATCCCTCTGCATAGGGTCCAAAGAGGATATCGTGTATCAAATTCAGCTTTGAAACAAAGATTGTTAGACTAACCAAGAATGTTCTGACACTGTGGATCCTTCATGGACAACTCTGTAATCAGCATGGTGTTTAATTACTGCCTTTGGAGGATTTGTTCTGGAAAGGTTCTCTAAATAAAGCCAAAGGAACTCTAGCTGGGCAGCCCATAACCTCTTCCTCCTGCCTTTCCTGTCAGATCAATTTCTACGTGGTGACACAATTTTTAAATTTGTTTTCCTTCTATTTATGGAGCCTCTTAAAAATCTCTTGTCACTTCCATTTTGATTTGCCCAGCTTAGGTAACTAAAGCAGTCATTGTAACAAACATTTTGGGAATTCCTACACTATGTAACACACTCTTTGGTGCTGTAGCAACATAAAAGATAAACCCTGGCCCTGTCTTACAGCACACTGCAGCGGACATTGCATGGACAGTTACACAGCATCTGGGAGGTGCTACATCTGAGGCTCACAGAGCTGCCTGAGGAGTACAGACCAAGGGCACACGCTTTGACTGGGCACAGAAGGCTAGAGCTTGGACACTGAGTGGACTATTACCAGGTTGAGAAAAGGCGTACGGGCATTCCGGGGAAAGGAAGGGGCAGAGCAGGGTCCTGGCAGGTGGCTCCAAGGAACTGCTGGAACCTGTAGCTCCTGGGTCAGGGGAAGGCTGTCACACTGGGAGAACCAGCTGGAGCCAGGTGCAAGTCATCCTAAACCCCCGACTCAGCCACAGGCCTGAAATGCTGAGGGCTGACAGGGAGCCCAAACGGGACAATGGAAGTCTAATAAGCCAAAGCAACCTTGACAAGAATCTCAACGGCCAAATGCCCGCAGCCATCAAACAGGCGTGACGGCGACACAGGTCCAGAACTCGAGGCTGGCTCTGACTGGGTGCAGGCCCTACACCTCCAGAGCCAGCATGGACTGCAACACGCAGGTGCTGCCGGCACAGGACGTCCCTGACGACTAGACTGCAGGAGATGTGGTGGGAGGTATGGAGAAGGTTCTGACACGTAAAATAATACAACATAAACACAGAGCAGAACGAAGCTGTAACATGCGTTTGGGGATGGCTGGGGTCTGAGATCTTCTGGGAGTATCATATATATGTTTTGTCCACCTGAGGAGGTTCACAGACTTGATCAGAAGATGACCTCATCTTCTACTGCTGAGTCTCCCCACCTGTACCTGTGCTCGGCTTCCCATGGAGAGAACATCCCCAGCCCTCTTCAGCCCAACCTGTCCTCTGATGTCACCCACTAGAGGCCTCCATGCATGCAAACACCTGCACCGCCATTTTGTCCTCTCTGCTGGCCCACACCATCCACCCAAGGTGCTGCCACACTGTCCATCTTTAGAAAACTCGCACCAGACCACACATCCCCTCTAGGCAGCCCCTAGTCCCGTGTTCCCTTCTACAAAAAAGTCCTCCAAAAAGTTGTCTACACTCACTGTCCTCTCCCTTCTCCTCTTCACGATGACACCCAGGGGCCAGCCTCCATGCCCACTCCTGGCACTCCTGCAGTCACCTCCGCAGTGGCCCCCTCCTGCCCGTCTCCAATTAAGTCTCCACATGGAACCAGGGTGAGCTCTGAAACGTTGCTCAGATTGTTATTCTCCTGCCTCAAGCCCTTCCATGGCTCCCCTGGCACCTAGAATGGCTCGGGCCTTCCTTTCCAACCTCATTTCACACCAGTGCACCCAACCCACTTCTCCACAGCCACCTCGGCCCCCTTCCGGCTTCTTGAACTTTCCAAAGTCCAGCCAGATCTGGGGCCTTGGTGTTTGCTGTTCCCTGAGACCAAAATGCTCTTCCACCAGCTCTTCTCACGTGGAGGCCCTTCCTGACCTTCCATCTAAGAGAAGCATCGGCCCCTAGCCCAGCAACTCTCCAGTGCTTCACCTGATTGTTCCTCCCAGCATTTACTGCCGCCCACACACGGATCTCGCTTGAGGGCAGAGACCTGCCCCCTTGCTCGCTGTGTGCTGCCCCATCCAGCACTCACCAAATACTAGTTGAATGAAGCACCTCCTCCAGGGGTGGACACGGCTGGGGCCCTTTTCAACTATACTCTCAAACAGCACACAACAGACAGACAAGCCTTCAGGACACAGAAGGTTAAGAACCTTTCCATTTATTCTGTTATCCCCCATTTCTCTAAGGCTCAATAAAATGCACCTCCCTTGGAAAAAGGGGAGACATTCACTTGTGTGTGCATCCTGGAACAGTGCCTGGTACAGACTACGCTTTTAATCAATGCTGCCAAAAATACTGACTACAGAAAATGCACCAGAAGAGGTTCACAGAAAGTTGCTGAGGTTTCCACAGAAGAGGTCAAAGGCAAGGTTTTAAGAGAGAGGCTGCAGGGTGTGTGGTCCACGTGAAAAGTAATTGGTTTTTAAATCTCTCTCTTTACAGTCCACCTTCCTTCCAAAAACACACCATGCCGTAAGACACTGACAACCACCCAGGACAAAAGGTCAGGGAGAAGAGTGGGATACTCCGGAGGGAAAGTCAAGACCAAGTTCTGCAGAGCCACTACGCCCAAGCTACAAATTCGCTGACTTTTCCAGGGGCCAAGAGGGAGACTACTGTTATAAAAAGGCCAAATTGTTGGTGGAATTAAGGGAGTATTCAGCATGGAAAATAGAAGCTGAAGGGGAGGCAGGGCAGTGTCTTCTACTAACTAAGGGCTGCCATGCAGAAAGAGAATAAACTTGCACTGTGTTGCTGCAAAGCACAGGACACAGAATAAGGGCCGCTGACATGAGCAGAGGCTGGCTCCTCCCATCTGACCTCACTCGCCCCCCTCCCGTGACCCGGCACCACCAGCACCGCCAGCCTCAGCGGGCCCTCATCAAGGCCTGCCAACCCCACTGTGTTTCCAAGCCGGCCTGCTCTCCACTGTCCACAACGCCACCCAAACCCTCGCTGTGTTCCCCGAGCCCATCTGCCACCCTGCCCCTCTGGTGCTCTGTAGGAGCTGGGAACTCCTCCAACTCCTGTCGCCCAACCCACAACCTGCAGGCACTGATGCCCATCCTCTCTTCCTCCCCCTGTCTTGGCTCCCTGTTCCCCTCCTTCTCTTCTCAGGATAAGGAAGGGTTAACTCCCCCACTCCACCTCCCCCATCCCTCCTCACTTACTCCACCCCCACACAAACGGATGCAGAGTCCTTTCTACAAGCATGCTTTCCAGGCGGGGCAGGGACTATGAACTGTAGGTCACCCACCCGCTCCCCAAGGCTGGTAGGGGTGGACTTGGCCTACCCTTCACTGTTTTTCTTCCAGGTATCAGGTCAAAAGAGGGACCATGTCTCAGCCTGGAACCCTTCACCCTTACAGACCCTCCTCTTCACTACTTCCACCGCTCCCTCCAGCCCCAGCCCTTCAGGAAGTCTTTCCTCCCCCGCAGGCTGGGCTGGAAGCCTGTTTCAACTCGAGCAGCACCCTGCACAGTGCTCCGTAGCACGTAACACAGTGGTAACCACTTGTCTGCTGAGTTTATGAAGTTTCCACGACACAGGCTCACATCTGCCTTGTCTACTGGTTACCCCAAGCCTGCCACAGGCTGCACAGTGCACAGAGGACAGAGGCACTCGGCAAACGCTGGCTGATGGAGGCGAGAGCTCCACGTCCTTGACCCCTCACTAGAGCTGTGGTGGAGGGGTGGCCACACAAGGAGTGGACAGAGAACAGACCACCCCAGAGGCTTCTCCAGACCTCGACACTCGAGGCAGAGTGGCCTGCACATGCAGGAGGATGCACTCTTCCCCTGCCTGACGCAAGGACAAGGCGTCCTGGGCAGGCTGGGGACCCACCAGGAACCCCAGGCTTAGAGCTGCTGTGGGCTTGCATACGGAGAACAGGAAACCCAGGAAAACTAAAAGGCCCTTCTGTAACCAGCCAGCTGGAGCACTTGGGAAGCTTACCTTTTCCTTGGTTGTGTTCCAATTTGCTTGACAGACTTCTCTTCAGTGTAAAAAAGCAGACTTCTTTGTAAAGTAGAGACAAGCAGCACCTTCTGGCTATAGTCCAGCTGCACAATTGAAGACGGCTCTTCCAGCACCAAATGGGAGTTACAGACGCCCTGTCAGAGAGTCCAGTTACACCCAGCTCAATGTGGGCGCACAGCACCCGACTTCCGCGATGACTGGGAAGCACCCTTCCTGTTATTTGTTAATTCCTGCTATTAGGTGTATTTATACCTTAAAATGTATGTGTTAATTCTCGTCAGATTCAGTATCAACCCAGTGCAGTGAAATTATTTGGAAAAATCCTTACTAATGAGAAAACAGTCAATGTTAACATCTATCTCAGGCGACATCGTTTGACAAGAAATATTTAAAAATTCCGTATAATTTATTTTAAAATGTTCTCAGTAGATATTCAAAGAATCCATAAAAATCTAAGCAGAACTATGTTGCACCGTGCATATGTTTATTCTAACAGAACATAATGGGACTTTCTATAAAATTATTGTGATAACAAAGTTCATATTACACTCTTCTCCCACACAGAGCTCAAACCAATTTGGGGGACATTGTATCCTTGCCCACAGAAAGGGTCAGAGGAAACAGGTTAGAAAGAAATTAAAATGATATTAAATATATTAAAGAACAAAGTAAAATTCTAGAAGGCATTTTACTGCTAACACAAACTAAATTCCTTGGTGTCAAAAATCTGCTTCAGGGACTGGCCCTGTGGCCGAGTGGTTAAGTTCACGCGCTCCACTGCAGGCGGCCCAGTGTTTCGTTGGTTCAAATCCTGGATGCGGACACGGCACTGCTCATCAGGCCATGCTGAGGCAGCTTCCCACATGTCACAACTACAAGGACCCACATCGAAGAATATACAACTATGTACTGGGGGGCTTTGGGGAGAAAAAGGAAAAAATAAAATCTTAAAAAAAAAATTTCTGCTTCACTCCAGGGGCCAGCAAAAAGAGGAGGACTGGCGTAGTTAGCTCAGGACTAATCTTCCTCAAAAAGACAAAAAACAAAAATCTGCTTCACTCCTCTCCTGTACTAGTGTCTTCAATTATTTAAGAAATGTTGGGCCGGCCCAGTGGCACAGCAGTTAAGTTCGCACGTTCTGCTTCTCAGCAGCCTGGGGTTCACCAGTTTAGATCCCAGGTGCAGGCATGGCATCCCTTGGCAGAAGCCATCCTGCGGTAGGCGTCCCACGTATAAAATAGAGGAAGATGGGCATGGATGTTAGCTCAGGGCCAGTCTAACTCAGCAAAAAGAGGAAGATTGGCAGTAGTCAGCTCAGGGCTAATCTTCCTCAAAAAAAAAAAAAAAGAAATGATGCAATATCATAGACTTTTTTTGGGCGGAAAGAGGGAACTGTGATCAGATTTATTGGTAAAATTTACATATAGTAAAATTCACCCTTTTTAGATATGCAATTCTATAAATTTTGACAAAAGTATACAGTCATGTAACCACCAACACAATCAAGACAGAGAAATTCCCATTACCCCAAAAACACTGAGCACTTTTAAGACAGATTTTCTTCCCACATTTGCAGTTATGCAGACTGTAGCTTTTCAGTTTTTGACTTAGCTTGTAATTAAATTAAATTTTTTGTACTTTATTTCTGCAAAAATATACAATCTCCCATGCCTTTTTTTGCAAATCTCACGAAATACTTGTGTCTTTTAAAAAAATTATCAGAGGGCCAGCCCTGTGGCTGAGTGGTTAAGTTTAGTGTGTGCCACTTCGGCAGCCCAGGTTCAGTTCCTGGGCACAGACCTACACCACTCATCAGCAGCCAGGCTGTGGTGGCGACCCACATACAAACTAGAGGAAGACTGGCACAGATGTTAGCTCAGGGCAAACCTTCCTCAGGAAAAAAAAAAAAATTATTGGAGCCTCAATAAAGCTGGGGGAAAAAACGATCAGAGTGCTAACTAAGAACAATGTTTTTCTGCATGTGATTTTCTCTCCAGTTCCTAAGCTGGTGCATGAGGAGTGTTTTCTCTGTGCCTGGAGGAGTGGCAGCAGGAAAGTATAAATACAGTGGACCCTTAACAAACTTAACAGAACATTTCCTGCAGAGCAGCAAGCAGTCCTCAAAGCGTGGTCCATAGTCCCTGAGGGTCTCTAAGACCCTTTTCAAGGGGTCTGCAAGGTCAAAACCATTTTTATTATAATTCTAGGTCATCTGCAATTTTCACTGAGCTGACATTTGTACTGATGGTATAAAAGCCATGCTGGGTAGAGCTGCCGGAACCTTGAGTCGCCTGAATGGAGCAGGGCACCAAACTCCACTAGTCATGCTATCACTCACCACCACACACTCGCAGGAAAAACAAGTTTCACTTCAGAATGTCTCCGATGCAGAAAAATTATAATTTCATTAAATCTTGACCCTGGGGTAGACATAGCTTTGCATTTGTGTGACCAAATGGCAGGGGCGGGAGGGGCACACACAGCCCTTCTGCCACACACTGAAGTACCTGAAGTACTCTGGTCCTCTCAAGGGAAAACACTTGTGCGATTGTGAGAGCTGTGAGCTGAGCCAGCTCCTTTTTTCATAGAACACCATTTTTACTTGAAATACTGTAATTATTCAAACTTGGGTATTTGGCAGACATTTTTCTCAAAAAGAACAAAGGAAGCCTGTCACTTCAAGGAAAACAAGTGATAGTATTTGTTGCTGATGATAACATTCAAGTCTCGAAGTGATGATTAGAATTGAAAACTTGTATCCGCCTTTGTGAACGTGACAGATTCCCAATAGCTAGACTTTTCTGACCAGAATGATGGTGACACTAACGAAGGTTCTTTGTTTGGTATTATAAGTAACTTGTTAACATTCGGAAGATCTGCATCACTTAGTGGATCAATATTTTCCAAGTGACCAATGATGATGCTATAAAATCATGCAGGGAGGGGTCAAAGAGCCATTCAAAGTGCAAGACAGACCGACGGGTTTCACTGTAACAAGGACGCACATTTTACTCATATGGTTTCAGATTCCATACTGTAACTAACCTTTAAAAAAACTATCATTAGTCGATTTGGGGATATGATTTAAAAAGAATGTCCAAAATTCTCTGAAAAGCCTGTTTTTAAACTCTTCCCATTTCTAACGACATGTCTGCGTGAGGCCAGATTTTCCTTCTATCCTCCAACCAAAACAATGTATTGCAGCAGACTGAGCGCAGAATCCAACCATCCTCGATCAAGCCAGACAGCAAAGAGATTTACAGAAACGTAAAGCAATGCTACACTTCTCACTTGCTTTTAAAATAGTTATTTTCACAAAAAATATGTTATTTATGTTAATGTATAATGGGCTTATTATTTTAAAATAAAATTCATAAATATTTTTAAATTTCTCAGTTTTAATTTCTAACACAGTGCACTCAGTAGATATAACCCATACAAACAAAAGCTCTTTGGGGTCCTCTTTTTAAGAGTGTAAAGGGGTCCTGAGACCAAAAAGGTTGAGAATTATTGATAGAGAATATTTGTAATAGACAGGTCAGTCTTGGATCAGAGGGACTAAAACTCACTTGGCTAGTAACTGCTGAACTCCTACTACATGCCAGGAATGAAAGCTACAAACAAGAAAACAAAAGGATTGTGCCACCAAGGAGTTCAGTCTGTCTGGGTAGATGAATGACAAAACAGATAAAGCTCAGGCAGGCACAGAGCCACATGGGCAGTAGAAAAGGTGCAGGCCTTGGAGTAAAAACCCCGGTTTAGAGCTGAGCTCTGCCAGATATTAGCCTGTGATCCTGGGCTAGGGACTGGATGTCTCGAAGCCTTGGTTTCCTCATCTATTGATTGGAAATGAGAACACATAGCTCCGACCACTGTTGTGAGGATTCCATAACATAATGAATGTGAGGGTGGGGCCTGGGCACCGTGCTGCCACCAAACCTCCTCCTCTGCCCTCTCCCACTCCTACATGAGGTCACCGCACACAGGCAAAGTTTGCCTAGGGGTAAGCTCTCCACCCACTGAAAGACTGACCTCTGTCCATAGTGAAGATTATGAGATGCTTCACATCAGCCCCACAAAGGAATCACCCTTCAAAGAATGAGGAAGGATAGTGGCTTCTTTTCCAAGTAGTAGCAATAGACAACAGTGGAACGAAATAAGTGAATGTTCCAGCAGAAACAAAGGTCAACTTTTCAGTCACAGAAGTAGAGGCTTATAAAACAGAAAAGTCTTTGAAAGAAAATGTTACAAGTAACAACTGAGATTATAAAGGAACAATGATCGAGAATACAAGCTGACTAAAAATACAATTATGAATAAATTTCTCCAAATATAAGAAGGCCAACAAAATTTCTGGAAATCAGGGGCTGGCCCCGTGGCCGAGTGGTTAAGTTTGCGGGCTCCGCTGCAGGCGGCCCAGTGTTTCGTTGGTTTGAATCTTGGGCGTGGACATGGCACTGCTCATCAAACCACGCTGAGGCAGCGTCCCACATGCCACAACTAGAAGGACCCACAACGAAGAATATACAACTATGTACCAGGGGGCTTTGGGGAGAAAAAGGAAAAAAATAAAATCTTTAAAAAAATAAAAATTTCTGGAAATCAGTTTACCTGGTCTAGATCCAGAGAAGAATATACAATTTTCCCTTTGTCATCTCCAGAGAACAATTTCATTCCATTGGGGCTCCAGGCCAGAGCTGTTATGCTATTTTTGTGAATACCGCTGACATCAAATCTCCGAAGCTATGAATAAACGATAAAAATACACACAAGAAAAAAGAAAGGAGAAGCACTGTGAGCTGGGCCATGTGGACAAGGTGTCACAAGCCCTCCTGTTTATGGAGGAACTGGTTTTCTCCACCTTGCTTTCCATGCAGAACCCTGCACAAGGTTCCATCTGTCTATTTACCTTCAGAACTGACAAAGAACAGCAGAGAATATTAAGGAAAATTTAAATTACCCATATGTGCTTTTTGCCAAGTGTCTTCCCAGGAAAAAAAACGTTTTCTGATTATAAAGAACACAGTGTTCAGCTTTTCTGAGCATATATTTTCTAGGCAGATGAGGATTTCTCGTTTTAAAATCCATGAGGAGGGGCCAGCCCCATGGCCAAATGGTTGGGTTCGAGCGCTCCATTTCAGTGGCCCAAGGTTTCACCAATTCGAATCCTGGGCGCGGACATGGCACCACTCATCAGGCCATACTGAGGCAGCGTCCCACATGCCACAACTAGAAAGACCCACAACTAAAAATACACAACTATGTACTGGGGGGGGGGGGGCTTTGGGAGAAAAAGGAAAAATAAAATCTTAAAAACAAAAAATCCATGCGGAATTTGCCAAGAAGTTAAGAAATGCTGAAATGATTAGTACTTACCTGTTTATTTCTCCCTGGCAATGAAGACACAAGTTGAAAAACTGCAACTCTCCCAGAGGCTGTGCCAGCAGCCACGAGGTCATCGAAGCAGCTCAGGAGCTTCACCACCGTGATGGATTCCGTCTTCCCCTAAGAGGGAACATTCAAAACCAGACTGACCTGTAACCAGGCCAGCTTTTAACATGTAAAACAAAGACAACATTATCGATGGGGTAAAAAACTTCGACGAGCTGCATCCTACACATATTCCTGATTGGAAATGAATACAACTCGGAAAGATAACGAAATCTGTTAAAAAACCTCTTTTTCCTTTCTAGGTTTTTAATATTTGAAATGACAAAATAAAAAGACTTATTTCTGATGAAGGAAATGCTGATCAATCGAGTATGAGTATACTGAGCTCTTGTCAAAAGAGTACTAAGGAGATTGGAGAAGAGACGTATTTACCCTAAAAATCAGGAGTCTGGAGCAAGGAGAGCTACTCCAGATCTAGGCTCTGCTTTTCTCTCTCAACGCGGACAAGTCATTCAACCACTGTCGTCCATGGTCTACCTGTCACACAGGCTTGCTGCGGGGATCAATGAGCCAATACACCTGGAAGTGCTTTATAAACTGATGGTTTGGTTCTTAGATCAATAATCATATTAAATAACATTAACTCGTGCTTAATACATTGGTTTATTAAAAAGACGTGTACAAGCACTGCATAAAGATACTCAGGCTTCCAGTGCATCTCAGTGACCATTCCGAAACCATTCATTCAGAAAAATGACACGACCGTTGACCTTGCTAAGACATGGCAAGATCTCCAATAAACCATTCTGATCCCTGATGTAGTAATTTAGATGGTAATCAATCTGTCAAACGTGTAAGAATGCCTTCCACATTCAGGGTACTGAGAGAGCTGCTATGGCAATATCAACTAAAGTAGGTCGCAGGCCCGCCCTCCTAAAGCTGAGCTGTAGCAATGAGACAGCACATGAAAGCCACCCACAGCGAGTGGAGGTGGTATTGACGGAGCTCACTTTCATCTGGTACTTTACAACTTTCAGGGTATTCTCATGTAAATACATCTGGAGCCAGATCGTGATACAGAGTAAGGCATTTGGATTTTCAGCTATAAAAAGGAAAAGGGGAACCCTTGAAGATTCCTGATTTTGCCAGTGTATCAGTCCAAGGTGTTTCTGATAACCCCCCATTAGGAGCAGGATGGAAGGAGGGGGTGGGGCCAGGCAGGAAGACCAGCTGGGAGCCTTTTGCAATAGTTCAGGCCAGAGGTAGTATGGGCCTAGCGCAGAGAAGTGGCAATTAGAACAGGCATGAAGGCAGTAAACATCTGGTTACAACGATGACAGCAGCAATGAAAGCACAGCAACTCTCCTTTATTGAGCGTTTCCCTGCGCCAGGCATCTTGTTAATCACTTTACGTGCACTGTCTCCTGGAATCCTCAGACAACAATGAAGGCAGGTGTGCGGTTACTCTCATTTTACAAAGGTTAAGTGATTTATCTAAGGACACGCAGCTACAGGGAATCAAGAGACAGGATTCACATTCAAGTGTGACTCTCTCCAGAGGCCCTGCTCTGCCTCGCTGCTCTGTGCTCTGCCTCGCTGCTCTGTGCATTCTCTTCTGAGTGAATCACAGGCGTGTAGATGGAAGGCTTGGTAGGCTTGTAGAGAGGAAGGAGAATAAAAGGACTTTATCGTCTGGAGTGTGGGTAACATGAAAGTGATGGTTTCATTAGCAGGATCCATGGGTACTGCTTTGAGGGAAGAAAGTGACATCACATGTTTTAGATACGTATAGTCTTGAACTTGGGGGCAGGATGTTGAAAAGAGAACAGTTGGGGAAGGCCTGGTGACACAGCAGTTAAGTGCGCACGTTCCACTTCAGCGGCCTGGGGTTCGCCAGTTCAGATCCCAGATGTGGACATGGCACTGCTTGGCAAGCCATGCTGTGGTGGGCATCCCACATACAGGGTAGAGGAAGATGGGCACGGATGTTAGCTCAGGGCAAGTTTTCCTCAGGAAAAAGAGGAGGATTGACAGCAGTTAGCTCAGGGCTAATCTTCCTCAAAAAAAAAAAAAACAGAGAACATTTTCCCTGGGAAACTGTAATATAAAAACCACCACCACATCAAGAATCAAAATCATTTCTGGGAGATCTTGCCATGTCATGGCATAAACTTAAAATGGCTGTGTAATTTTTCTGAATGAATGGTTGCAAGACAAAAATCACTCAGATGAGCTGTAAGTCTGAATATCTGTGTAGAGTGCTGGTACACACACTTTTTAATAAACCAATGTACTGGGCTTGTACTCAATGTACTCATATGATTATTAACAAATTTTGTGGCTCTTGACTTAAAAACCAAAACATCCCAAAAACTGGATTATCAACACTTAACTAGACTTCAGATAGAAACAAAACATGAGGCTTCAGCTTCCAACAGTATGATTGATAGTCTAGCCATTCTGAAAAACATTCCTCTCCAAACACCCAGAAATGCTGAGTAAGATACATTAAACATCCTTTTAAATGCACAGCTGATCTTTAGAAAGTAAAGAAAATCTACAGGAGCAAAAAAACAAAAAGAATATTGCCAAACTGGAATAAAGCCAGCCCTGGAGCTACAGGCTACCTTGGGACTATGTGACCAACACCTGGAACCTTGGTTTATGAGCTGAGCAGAGTTAACGAGAACAAGACTCCAGGCCAGATGAGGTGGGAGGCTGGAGCTGATATCCCCTGCCAAAGTCAGAGCCCCTGAAGACCTAACCCTCAGTGCAAGTACAAACTAAGGAAAAATCGATCTACTGGCAAATGGAACTTTGTCTTATCTCACACACTGATTGGAGAGAATAAAAAGGAAGAATCTTTCCTAAGAAATTGTAATCACAAGCCTGCCCTCTTCAGCATGAGAGTCTGAATTTATTCTTCCCTTCCACTCAAAAGAAAGCTCCACGCCAGGCAGTTTATCTGAAGTGCTTCCATGTTAGCAGCACTCCAAGGTGCCTGGCAGACTGACCATAAACCCCATCTGTAGCACAGTCTCACCCAGGTCCCTTAGCATTCACATATATTAGGATCAGCCACATAGCTCATAATTAGAAATCGGACATTACAGGAAAATAAGTCCCATGAAAAAGAATCAACTAAAAAAAGCAATAATAGAATTGGACAACCCCTCACTCCCACCCAAGTATTTCATTTAGATTGAAGAGACCCAGAATGTAAAAGAAATATGCTTAAAATTTTTAAAGAAATATAAAAGGAAACAAACATAAGAGCAAGCTACTATAAGAAATGAAAAAGAATCAAAAGAATTTCAAATCTCAGTGGGTGGATTAAACAGATTAGTCACAGCTGAAAGAAAATTATTGAACTAGATGACAGATCTGTGCAACAAAGAGAGATGAAAAGATAAAAAATATGAAAGAGAAGTTGAGTCATCGAAGTTAATAGAAAATGAAGGTCCAACCTACAACTAATTGGGATTCCAGAAGGAAAGAAGAGAGGATAGGGACGGCAATATCTTCATAGGGTAGGGCTTAAAGTTATCCAAAACTGATGAAAGACCTGTATCCTCAGGAGCACAAGCTTTGCACAAGATTAATGAAAAGAGATACAACACACATACATCTTGTAGTGAAACAGTAAAACCTCAAAGACAATGAGAAGATATTAATATGTCAGAGAAAAAAGTCAAGTAACCAAATATGAACAACCTTTAAAAAACAGACTTTTCAACAGCAACCATGGAGTCCAGAAGACAGTGGAATATCATCTTCCAAGTGCTAAGAGAAAAAAATTGTTAGCCCTGAATAGTATGCTTGTCCAAACAATTCAAAGACAGAGAGACATTCAAACAAACAAAAAAGAGGGTACTTAACACCAAAAGATCTCAACACAAGTACTAAAGGATGTACTCCAGAAAGAAGTAAGATAGTGACAAAGGGAAGAACTGAGAAATAACAAGGAATAGTGGGTGAAGAAGTTGGTAAAAACGTGAGGAAATCTAAACAATGACTGTAAAATACCATAATAATAATGTCCAATTTGAGTAGTTAAAGAGAGAAGACTTCACTTGTGACACTCCTGAATGTGTGGGAGTTTTCCCCGAAGACACGCAAGTTTCTGACACAAGCTAGGTGTCCTATAATTTAACTCAATTCTGACACTATCTACCCGAAGACAACGTCAGATCCTACAGGTAAGGGCTCAGTCGCACAAGTCTGCCACCTACACCCCCACTTCAGACACCAGTTATCCCTGTGCTTCTGATCACCCAGCTATAGATCGGAAGTTCCAATGACCCCCTCCTTGGGTTCGATTAATTTGCTAGAGCAGCTCATAGAACTCAAGGAAACACTGACTTGCACTGACCAGTTTATTAAATGACAAAGGATACAGATGAACAGCCAGAAGAAGAGATGCATAGGGTGAGGTCTGGGAGGGTCTCGAGAGCAGGAGCTTCTGTCCTTATGGAGATGGGGTACATCACCCTCCCAGTGTGGATGTGTTCGCCAATCTGGAAGCTCCCCAAACCCTGTGCTATTGGGGTTTCATGGAAGTTTCCTCATGTAGGCATGATCAATTATTAACTCCATTTCCAGCCCCTCTCGCCTCTATGGAGAAGTTGGGAAGGTGGGGGTCTGAAAATTCCAAGCTTCTAATCATGTCTTGGTCTTTCTGGTAACCAACCCCCATCTATGAGCCCACTCAGAGTTGCCTCATTAGAACAAAAGATGCTCCTAGTGCTCTTATCACTTAGGAATTTACAAGGGTTTCAGGAGCCCTGTGTCAGGGATAGGTCAAAGACAAATATGAGAACAAGAGATGCTCCTGGTGTTATTACTTAGGAAATTATAAGAGTTTTAGGAGCTCCGTGCTGGGAACCGAGGGCAGAAATCAATATATATATTTCTTCTTATTATATTATTATTATTATTTTATATTATTATATTATTATTATTATCTCACAACTGAGATAAGTTAAAGGACACATATGGCAAACCCTAGAAAAACTACTAAAAAGATAAAACAGGTAGAGCCTAATAAGCCATAGTACACATAAAATAGAAATATGAAAAAATAATCTAAAAGGCAGTAGGAAAAGAAAAAAAAC